CAAATGGCAATATTTTGGTATCCCTTTAAACAGCCTGTTAAACTGTGCTGACCATGTCACATTCAGATAGTGTATCGAGAAATCCAGGTGATATGCATTTGGTTGCCACATCTATTCAGAAGCTGGATGACATGAGAAATGCATTTTCTTTTCACAGCACTGGATCATGCTGATGAATGATGAAATGCAAAACAAAAAGAAAGGAAGATAGATGGTGGCATTGTTTCCTTCTGGAGCTGTAGGTCATTTTGTCCACAGCTACTGAACAGCATTTTTGAAAAGTAGCTTTTAGTGTGCAAATGGGAAAGCTTTCCTAAAACACACAAGATAACAGATGTACAGATATAACTGTATGACAGTTATGTAATGGAGGTTAGGATGCTTGCAAAGAAAAAAGTATGCTATCCATTTATCCTCTTGTAATTGACTGTGCCAATTCTGGCAGCTTTTACTCTTAAAAAAATAATTACACTGAACAATTCCATTATACAAAACAAACCCAACATATTCTCATAGTTAACAATGTCCTGTGTAAATCAGAGTTGCACTCAGTGATTCCAAATGGTTAAACATGATCTATAAGTACATTACTGGATTGTCATTTGTCTGCTTCTGAAACAACGTTAAGATTTTGGAGCTATTTATTACACCAAAAAGAAACCCTTAAAGAAACACACACCCAGAAACAGCTAATTTAAATAATGTAGCAATAAAGCCTAACATATGTTTTGAGTACTGTATATCCCCAAATATTTCAATACTGTACATAATACTGAGTTTGGAGGGCAACACATTTCGGTTCTTTATATATTAGTTAGACAATCATGATGAGTTGCCTTTTTCAGTGTTTTCCATAAGAAAACATGCTAATGAGAATGGATACATCTCAGATGCTTCTGTGCACACATTGAGCTCCACCATGGTCATGCATGAGGTCATAATTCGATGGAAAAGAATTATCTACATTTGAAAATGAGGACCTACACTCAGATACATGCACATTTCAGTCAACAGGATAGATGGATGAGAAAGCCTTGGATACACAGTTTGAATCTCTGCAGTCCTATCTATATTCCTAATGGATGCTGTTCAAAATACCAAATTACTCAGCCTCTCTATATCCTTCTGCAATTCTTGAATTATGAATAGACTGGAGAAAGAAATCCTTCATTCTAGCTAATATAGCTTAAACCTATGTTTGACAATTATCTGTTTTTAAAGCAATTTATATAATTCTTTGAATGGAGATTAAAGCTTCTTAGCTTATCGCATGTAAGAAAATTTTTTATCTGCAACATATTTTGGGGCAAACTGTTGCTTTGTTACATAATGGATATCTAGGATGACCAGCAATAAATACTGGGTAAAACCACTAAAGAAAAAATGATCACAGAAACAAGAGGCAGAGGATGCAGAAGTTACATAAAATTCATGCTGTTTTCATAATTTAAAATGAAAAATAAATCTTTAAAATTATCAATTTAAAGGAAAGAAAAACTATAGGAAGAATGCTACTAAAACTATGTCGGCTAAACATATATGGCCATGTTGTATATTATTTGCTGGATATATTTCAAGAGCATCAAAATAATTTTCACAGACCAGTACAGAGGCACTGCAGGACTTCAGAATGTGATTGCATGGTTGGCCTGAGGCCGTTTGCAGTTTAGTCAGGCAACAAAAATAATCTTACAGTTCAATCCTATTGTTTTCTTGGAGCATTCTGAGGTCAACACACCACGTTTCTGAAGCCTTTCCGGATTCCTACAAGCACAGGGGCAATGAGGCGAGAACGCCACCTGTGTTCTTCCTCTTTTTCTAAAGCAAGTTCTCTTCCACTGCTCATTGATCTAAAACACTCCTCCAAAAGTGGAGAGATGAGAGGTACAGGTCTTTCTGTGGGGGCAGAGAATCAGTGATCAAAAAGTCAGATTTCCTCTTTAGAAGCCAGAGTTTTAGAAGCTGATTCTTAAAATCTATCCCTGGGTGCTGGTAAAGTTATCCAAGAGACCACAGAATTGCACTGACAGATATTTTCATGAATCAGGCACCAATGTAAATGTCTCTAACAGCCGAGATTCACAACCTACAGATTTTAGATGACAATGTAAATCTACCAAACTAGTACCAACTTAAGGGAATGAATTCCTCTCATGAAACAAATGCATTCTGACAAATTACAATGAGATAAAATTGATGAATAGCCTGGACTAGACAAATATATTCCAAGCTCAAGGAGCAATAAATAACTTAAAATGAAAATAAAGCAACTAAAGGTTATTCACAAAGAACGTAACTGATGGTGAGGATTATGTCCTCAATAAAGCGGGCAATATTTATTGTATTTTGGGGAAGTGTTACCACAGGAACAGTCAATTATTGTCAGACCATAGGCTTATACATTGTTCTCCTACATTACAATGTCTGTGTATATCCATGGCCAAAGATGAGTAAGATGTGTCCTGCATAGATATCTTACATCAGCTAGTGCAAAGACTAATTGGCCCACCATACATGGGTTTCAATTTCACTCTGAAATTAGTTGATTGACATCTTATGGTTAGTTCATTTAAAGATGGCCATGAAATATAGGTAGGAATTAGATTATTTAAATACAGGCATGCTACTTTGTGCATGAACACAGAAATTATTTGTGTCTTTCCTCTGGCTTTAGCAGGTGTACTTGCAACCACATGGTAGGTTGCACAAAAAAAACATAGGGCTGTGTCTTTGTCAGACCCTACTCAGTTCTCTGACTCTGCTTCTTCTAATTATTTGAATAGAGCTAATGTAACTTCATCAAGCAGAAAGGAAAGGTGAATAGGAATGCACTCCCAAGATTCTGCTCTCTTGATGTGTTGTGTGTGCAATCAATCGTGTAGGGATATAGAGGATTAACACCTCTTTCCCTTTTCTTGATAAACAGGTAAATAGATCCTCCTTTCTAGTCTTAAGATGGGGTCAAGGCAGAGGTGCTGAGCTCCTTAACTCTAGCAAGTGTGGCCCTCCATTTATCCTAGCCAACATAGTCAGTGACAAATAATGCTTGGAGATGTAGTCAGCAAACTTTGGAGGGCTGCACTGTGTATATCCCTACTCTTATAAGGAACCTATTATACGTGGGACCTTCATTCAGATAAAGAAGATTTTTGCTCCATTTTGTATTTTAAAACAATGCAACTTGGTAACATTATCTTTTTGCACCATTTGTCCCAGTGGCCATGGTAGGTGGTGGATTCTGTGATTTGTAGTCCAAATATTATCTTTTCTAAGCTACTAGAACTATTTGAAACTTTTTGTGCTCTAATGACCTACAATACAAACATTCTGACGTAATTTTATGCCTGGAATTTATGGCCTAGTTCGCAGGATCCTTGCTTACAGAATGACCTTTAACATAAGGTCATACTTAAAATTTAGCATTGTATGTACATTAGAATATTATCACAAACATCCCACATTATAAAGAAATGGATCAGAGAATCCTGTGTAGGAGCTCGATGAGTTAAAATTGGTGATACCCATCTGCAATGGTAAAGATAACATTGGCAAAATGGATTCTCCATTATTCTTCCCAGAACTCATGTGCCCACGAAATGTGTTCTGGAGGATATGGGGACCTTTTAGTATGGAGGGTTCAAGAGAAAAGAGGAAGGAGCAGTCAGTCTCTTGCATAAGCTGAGTTCCACTTGTGCAATGTCGGATCATGTCCTACTTTTTTTGCAGCACGGATCTCAGTTAGTACATTTGTATACCTGCATGTTACACATAACGTGAGAAATCTGATTTCTCCTATCAATGTAATAAAATCTAAATCCTGCTTTTCCATGCACTCAGTGTAGCAAACAATGACAAAATAGAAATAGAAACATATTAACAAAGAAAACATTTAGCAAAGGTAAGCTTCACTTTTTCTAAAAATCCTCATAGTATCTGATATATTTCCTTGTTGCTCAGAGGTTATCAGTGAAATGTGGGCAGAACATTCGTTAGAAATGTTAAGGTGATGTTAAAGCTGCCATTAAGAAAGTTTCCCCAGCTACGAAAAAAAGGAGTTAAAAAATTGAAAAGACAGTTTTCCTTTAAATATCTCTAATATTCTAATTATGAGATTTATTTTAAAAAAGTAATGTCCTACTGATTCATGGTATAATGCAGCAGCAAACTAATATTTGGTAATTTGATCACTATAACTGCTTCCAAAGTCGCATTTGGAAATAACTGATGGTTACTTCCAGAAACCCATGACCGTGTAATGAAAATGTCCTTCCAAAATGATTTTAATATGTCTATAAAATAACTTATTTGGTCAAACATTTAAAAAAATCTCAAATTTTTATGAATATACCTAAAAGTGTAAGAACTATTTGAAAAGCAAGTGGCAAAGGGTGCAACATGATTCAGTTTCCTAGAATGACTACAAACATACTTTCTGAAGATAAGGGTAAACACAAAAATGTTATGCAGATGTGTTCAAAATCGAGAAACAAAGAATTCTTTTAAAATAAATTGCAGTGCAATCCTAAGCATGTCTACTCAGAAGTAAGGCCCATTGACTTCAGTAGAGCTGGATCTCAGGAAAAGTGGATAGGAGTGAAGCCTAAAATTAAAATTAAACTAATGTATTTGAAATAAAAGTTACATTGACCTTTGTCTGTCATGTAATAATAATTTTCCCTCCCTATTCCATATTCTTTGCCACCCTAAATACGTCCATTTTAGGAGGAAAAAAAGGCATACAAATAAACGAGTCTGGAAAAAACCAACAATGATTTGCTTTGCAGCAGTGAAGACTTGATCGATGCCAAAACAGGGAATACTGAAAAAAAGTGGAACAAAAGCTTATCTTTTTCAAAACTTAAGTACTTCTAGGCACGAATGCCAAAGAGGTTAGAAAACGGAAGTACTAAACAAACAAAATTAAATATATTTTCCAAAATCCAACCAGCAATTGTTGTTTCATGAAAAACTTCTGAAATACATGTTGCAAGCCATATGAAGTCAAATCTATTCCATTATTTGAGAGGACGGCATTTTATGGTTTCTTTTTTCAAGAACTCTTCCCTTGCAAAACAAATGCAAAATACAATATGTGAAGCACATACTGTATTGCTGAAATCCTCAAAGAAGTCCATATTTGTCCTCCAGGTGATACTGAGACCTATCACCAAATGATCCGTTGGAATCTCTCTGCAACTTGGTCATCCAACTCACAAAACTAGATCTTCATACTTCTTTCCTTCACGGTTGCACAGTCTATAGGGCCCGGTACGCAAATCCACCCAGTGTGATTGTCGTGGGACTGTCAGCAGCATGAGCAAAAGGAAGCTGATGAGCAGGTATCACCTTTTTTGTTTTGACAAAGGTGGCTTCGTAACTCAGAAGACTGAAAGTCATCCACTGTTAGAAGGAACGGCAATTCCTTCCAAATCCGAGACCAATGTCTTAAGCGCCTCCTTTTATCATTTTTTTGCAATAAGCCATGGTGTGACTCCCTTGAGATGACAAAAAGAACAGTTCAATTGTCGGAAATTCAAACTGACAGCCAGCAACCATTGAAGCATATGAGATGATCACACAACAAGCTGTATTGGTGCACAGATCATGCTTTTGATTTTAGTTAGCACAAGCAAATACAAGAGTGATGGGGTGGGAGGAGTACCAACCAGAAATAAGATTTATGAATGTAAACATAGAAACAAAGTCACTATATTCCAATGGCAATCAGATACAGTACTTTTGATAGCATTAAGCTCATTATTTGGTCACGATTTCATGTAAACTAGTTCATGACACTTGCTGTCCCCGCAGGCCCACAAGCCAAAACAAAACAAACCAAAACAGAAAACAAGTGAAGTGTCTACAAGCAATCACTCTGCAGAGATGAGCTCTGTAGAGTGACTATTACTTGATTTTGCAAGCTTGTCACACAGTTTATATTTGCCAGATTGAAGATGTATTGTGAAGAACAGATGTCGGCATGGACCATTGCAAACAAGTAGAAGCAGCTACGTGTAAACGTATTTTCAAACTTGTAAAATCAATGGTTCTGTTTTCAGTTATAAATACAAGAGGTGCAGCGTTATATACACAACTTCATGCTTGCAAAGTTAGATTCATCACTGCAAAGAGATAAAAAGAAAACATTTCAAGAAGGTTAGTTCTGCAATACTGAAATGTTTGCTTCGATTGTATGCATATTGGCTTGGGTAAAAAGGGGCCTATTGATGCGACTAGGCCCAATTATTCTGGCCTGAATTGGTCTAGGTCATGCTAAACAGGGTCGCTTTGCAGTGTGGTATATTATTTAAGCTGATCATTGAATCCACATGCAAGGATCAAGCACATCACACCTCAAGCGACCATTTTAGCACGTTCTAGACTGAACTTCTTTTCCTTTAAAGGGGAAAAAAACCTCTCCTCCTGCCTCCTCCTCCATGCTTTGCTTAAGCACTTAATGATTTTGAGAAATGGAAAGCTTCCTTCCCTCTTGCCTATGGAGAGGAAGGTACAGGAAGTTTTCAATTTCTTTTTAATTGTTGCTATCTGACACAGTGCATTAGCAATGCTTTGAAAGGGCTTTTAACAAAATGCTTTAGCAACAATTAAAAAGAAATGCTTTAGTAACTATTAAAAAGAAATGGAAAACAACTCGCTTGCCCTCCAGGGATAAGCAGGAAGGAAGCTTTCCATTTCTCAATATTGTTAAGTGGCTTAAGCAAAGGGAGAGCTTAAGTCTTCCACTTTGGTTCAATCTCTGTGATCATATATGCTGAAATTGAACCAAAGCAGAGCAATCTTACCTGCACTAAAATAACAACCCACTTGAACCAAAACAGAGCAATCTTACCTGCACTAAAACAACAACCCACTAAAGAGTAGCCCCTGAAAGGGACCCAAAAAGATGTGGATAGGCATTGAGCAGAGATGGGCTAGGCACATACACTGTCAAGTCACCATGAAAAGGAGTGAACCAGACTGTCCCCAGCCCAGACCAACTGCAGGACAAATGCCCATCTATTTGTTTTCTATTCATCAAGATCATTAAGAGTCTTAAGGTTTCCTCTTAAAAAATGAAGTTCTCTCACCTCCCATGAGCAAAAGGAGAGAGACAATTTGCACAAATTTCCAACCCCTTACATTTGCACCCCTGAAAAATTTGTTCCAGAAGGCTCAGGAACTCTCCAGAACATTTTAAGGGGTTGTAATGTCAAGGGGAAACTGACAAAACATTTCTTTCTAAAGTCAGTATGTTTTGTTACCCATCTTCCATTCCCTTTTTTTGATTGACCTCGTTTTGCCTCTCAGTGCCTGTTGGCATGGGATATATAAGGATTAAAAAGCTAACACATAACAATATTTGCAGGGTCTCACCTTTTGCCAACAGCCAGGCATCGGTAGCCCATCTGGCCCCTGTTTGAAGAACAAAGTTCCAAAGTTTGTTACCAAGCAAGGTTAATATCAGCAAACATCCACATTATTGCAAATTTCACAAATTACAACTCTAATTTAGGAAGATGCACAAAATCAAAAAAAATCCAAAAATAAAATGGATAGGATGCATGAGGATTTTCTTAACATATACAGCCTGATGTTCCTTAGATTTTCTATAGAAAAATCAACCATCATCACTAATGGTTAGTGTCAACTCACATGAACATTTTAAGTTTAACAACTGCTTTATTTCATGCAACTATATCTATATCTTTGAGATCTACATTGATTCATTCAGAACAGTAGTAATGAAATGACAATTAGGATCCCAATCTAACAATAAGCATGCTGCAGGTTATCTTTACTAATACATTAGCTAGGATCAAGTGTGGAGTGAAATGGACTAAATCCATTTGGGTAGAGCTAGACAGGCTTGGGAAAAGATAAACTATTCACAACAATTCTTTCCATGAGCAAGAGTGTATCATTTCTATCTGGAATTCATTGGAAATACTCTCCCAGGAATAACTTGACACAATGGCATGTTTTCAGTGAAGAATGTTCAAAACGAAAACTAGTGACTAGGAAACTAAACAAAATTAACTTTGCAGAAAGCACAGCATGGCTATTGTTAACAGGCTCACATCTCACTGAATCTCCTATTCCTGGAACTGGGAAAGGATTATACGCTTGCATTCCCCTGAGCAGCTCCATGACTGTTTTGGAGGGCAAAGGAAGTTTCATTCTGCCAAATAGTTGGTGTCCTCCGGTGCAATGTTCATTGTAGGGCATAATTTGTTCCGAGGGAAAACCTGACCGTACATATTTACAAACTCAGACAGTACTTTATACTGGGATCTTGTATCAGCTACCAATTATGAAAAGCTAGCATTTCCCCTCTCTTTGGAAGTGTGCAATAACTTGAGGGAAAAGAATAATAATAATTAAAAAAACCTAAAACACCTTATTAGCTGTGCATCAGTTTATTTAATAGTTTGCTATCTACAGGACAGTTTTCCTTTGTTTCTAGACAGAAATGATACTGCAAACATGTTCTAAAGAATTCCGAAAGCATGCTTTGCTTGTTCACAACCAAATACATAAACTACAGATTATCAGTCAGAGACAAACTAAATATAACATGGACTTTGTACTCAGATAAGGACTCTCCTGACAATTTACATTAGAAACAGTGTGCTCAAAAGAAAATCTACTTAATTTTAACATTCATCTTTTAAACATCATGCTTAAATTACAAACAGTATCAAAACATGCAGATCAAACCTAAGGTGCTAACCATTACAAAAAATCTTTGGCATTTTCTATAAATGTGTAGATGAGGTTTTGTAAAAATCATATTCTGATGACATTGAAAATAAAGAGTGTTGCCAGATTGGTACAAGGGAGAGGGATCAACAAGTAGAATTTTAGTATAGGTAGGAGCTTGAACTCATGCTAACAAAGAGTGGAGGAACTATTGTGTATATTTTGGGAAATTAAGTTCCAAAGAAAGGATTGTTACACTGAAAACATTTAAGAAACAAAGACAGTGAGGGCTTTGGGCTGCAGGCCATTAACTTCTTACAAAGTTCTGCTAAAGTTTATTTTCACATATGCATACCATTCCAATATGTAGTGAAACTGATCATGGAGATTTAACACCTAGACAAACTCCTTAAGACAAACTCCCTAAAACAAACTCCCTGTCAGTACACCCTGGATGTCTATATAATTTTAGGCAAAAAAGAACTTAAACACAGATAGTAAAAACCCTAGTTAGATCGAGATTCAGAGATAGTTAGGGTAGACCCACTGAAATCAATGGAACTAAGTTCCATTCGTTTCGGGGGGGGGCTTTCTTTATGTATGAATAGATCTAAATCTAACTCACTAGCTACAATGGAAAAATTTGTGCTACATTATTCTTAAATTGCATTTTCTAGTATGTAAAAAAAATAATTCCCACTAATAATATCAGGGTCTTTTTTTAAGTTTTTCACCACAGAACTGTAGAATATCTGGAGTATTCCCGTAAGGTTGAGTAGACAGGAGCTGCTCTATTCCACATTTTAGCTCTTTGATTTAGGTGTCCGGCTGCAGAGCCAGAATTTGGGAGTTCAATCCCCATGGTGCCTTCGAAGAGAAAAGCCAGCCTGTGTGGCCTTGGGCAAGCTGCACAGTTCCAGGGCACCTCCAGAAGAAGGGAATGATAAACTAATTCTAAGTATTCTCTACCTCAAAAACCCTGAAAGGGGTCACCATAAGTCTGAATTGGCTTGATGACACTTTTTTAAAATTATGTGCATATTGAAGCCCACCTTGATTCCTTGTGCACACAAAGCCCTGTTATGTGCATATGCTTTTCTATGAGTTAAACAGAAGGTATGATATCTTCATTGCATCCAATATGTCCTTACTACTATCAATGTTATTAGTTTATTTGCCTTCTCTCTTTGGACACAATCCATATAGCTGCTATTTCAATAGAACACTGCTCCATTTTTTCTTCTTATTGTTCACTTTGCCTCGAAGGAACAGGTGAACAAGCAGCAACAGCATGGATCAAGAGGAAGAAGGCAAAAGAAAGCAGTTTTGAGCATCCTGTTGGGCTGTGGGCTTGGCAGTTGCCCAATAAATGCTATTTATTTCTTTTCTGTTCTTCCTTTCTTTGGTCACAGTTAGTCCAGCCACCCAGAGGAAAGGACCCTGACATCAACCCTGCACGCAAAACTACTCTTTTTATTCAGGGCTCAGAAAATATAAGCCCTCAAACAACGTGGTCACTGGCCATGTTGGCAGGGTTTGTTCTGGGCTCTGTAGGTCTCTCCCCCCCCCTGCAAAAAAGGAGGGAGAGGGACTTTTCCAAATTCTACCTGGAAGGTATGAAAGCATACTGGTTTGGACTGTCTTTATGTGCAGTTGAGCCACTATATTAGGGTAAGAGAAATTCCACTTTGGATTAGAGGGCTTTATTTTCAAAAAAGGGAAAACTCAGGCAACACACTCAAGACTCAGAAGTGTAAAACATGTATGGGGGAGAGCTAAAGGTTCACCCCTATGGGCAGGGCAGGCATACTTATGTCAGTCTGTCAGTCAAGGGATTTTTGTTTCTGTTTTGGGTCAGCAGAGGGGACAATACTTCATCCAAAGTGAGTATAGGAGAACACTTTTGGCAAATGGGAAGAAAGACAATCAACCTTGGGTTTGGGTAGGATTATACTTATTGCAAATGTTGGAATCAAACAAACTCAGAACTGCTGTGTGATGCAGTTGCAAATGCTCAAGTGTTATGTTGCCAATGTTGATAGAATGTGTGATCTCTGGATACTGTTACTGTCACCAAAAGCAGCCAGTCTGATCATGCACATGCATGTACGAGGATGTATAATGTAAAGTCCAGGCATTGAGAAACTTTACATTGGGAACAAGTAATTAGAAAACACAGGAACTGCATGCAGGGTTGGAAGGAAAGAGCAATACTGTACCAATTGGCAAGGGGCATCCAGCCCATCCAGACCAGGCTGGCCTGGCTCCCCCTTTTCCCCCTTAATTCCACGGAATCCCTGTTTGTAAAGATTAACTTGCAATGTTACTAAGACATTTCTTTGGCATTGACTTAACTGGAATGAGCAAACAAGAATGAACAGAAAAAGAGGAACAAGCTCACAGGAAAAGGGGCCCAATAAGGATACTGTAATTTTGCACATCAGAAATTACTTGTGTTCTATCAGGACAAGTGATTGAACACGTGGAGTCCAGAATTCAAGTGCTTGCTCCACAAATTATAAGGAAGTTAATTGTTTTTGGAGTACAAGCCCTAGGGTCTCCCATAGGGTCCACATAGGCTGGCGATTCTGGGAACTAACATTTGCAAGCTGTATGGCAAAATTTGTCATGAACATCTATTGCATTTTCAAACTTCAAATACTGTTCTGAAGACACTAAGAAACATGTGTCTCTTTTTTTTCAGTCTGGATAATTTGGTTCTTTAGGATGAAAGAATGTCGCTGTAGTATGAATAATAGCAGTAGCTTGTTCCTCTTTACCTTATGATATCCCACTATAACATCTACTGTAAGAGGAGACATTTCCAGTACATGAATGAGACATACCAATGGACAAGGTGCATCTAATCCAGGGGCACCCTGTTCTCCTTTCTCCCCTTTAGGCCCCTTTTTGCCTTTCTTTCCCTTTTCCCCCTGTGGACACAATCATTTGGATAAAAACAAATGTTTCATTCTTTTCAGGGAAAAATTAACAAAATATATTTTAAAAGTTTTTTTAAGCCAATGGAGGGCTGAAAGGACACTTACCACTGTGTTCTAGTTTGCACGATGCATTGTGTGGAAAAATAAGTTATATGATATAGGAATAGCTACATTTGTTTGGTTGTACTGAGTTTGTTGTTTTTATTATTATGGATGCTTTGAATCCTAAAGCAGGGCTTAAAACTATGGACTACATTTGACCATTTGATCCAAAATCGGCATCCAGAAGCTCTCTCAAATAAAAATTACCAAATCTGGTCATCTCTTGAAGAAATAGAAGATGCATTTTCCAAAGCCCAGTTACCACATGGAAGTAGGTAAGAGTATCCCCACTTTTTTTGGGGTGGTGGTGGTTGATTTAGGATTTGGAGGGAAGCAATTCCTTCCCTTCTGAGAACACTGGCAGCTGCTTTCCTAGTTTGATTTCTCACAAAATAAACATTATGGCTCTTTCTCAAGAAAATGTTCCTTGTCCTTGAGATAGTGACATTTGCATGGGTAGGAACATTAATCACGACAACATGTTTCTTATATATGCACACACTTGTAGCGCTGTGTGTGACTGAGCCACATGGATGCAGCTCATCGTACAATTATTATGAAGTGTGAACAAGGCCCAAGTTTCTATTTACCATGACCTCCTTATCCCTTTCAAGGAATAATGAAACCTGTATCTCTGGGCACTTGGTCCTGCCCACAACACAGAAAAAAAATAGGAGATCCTGTTCATAAACGTCTCTCACAGGCATCCAAATATGAACACATCTGGACTAAAGCATTTGTTTGACAACCTGTTTGCCAGTGTTTGTTTCTGAGGACAGTGTAGTCCTAAGAGTGCTACACCACAATATTCAGGAATAAATGCTTTGCCCAGAAGCTCAAACTCCATTTGTGGACTTAATTTGGATAGCTAAAATGAACAGAATGAAGAGAAATGAGATGAATAAGAAAGTGAGATGAACTGGATCCGTGGCAGATGTTAATGAGGGGAACCTTGCTGTAACATGGCTCTCCTTAAAATTTTTAATGGGGTCATGGCCAAGTGTGGTCCTTTAATCATGTTGTTCTAAAATTCAATAAATCGTAATTGGTTGCCTGGAAAATCAAGTCTGGATGTCTTATCCAACCCTGCAAAAGGATTCAAAAAAACCTTCCCTGACCTACAAATATTCTAATACTTTTTCAGTGGAGTTTGTTCTTCTAATTTAAAATTACAACACAATGGCATTATATGCATAAAAATATGCTTTCAGCACCAAGTCGAAATTGGAAAAAAAAATCAAGTTGCTGAAAACAGAACTATTTTAAAAGAAGTTTATATTAGAGGAACTTCAGAATTTAGTGGAACAGATTCTAGGCATCTCGTTTAACAAATCAGATACTTAGAAGGGTAGAATAGCTGTCTCAAAGAATGACTTCCTCTTCAGCCACTGGGAAACACTTTGAGAGCTAATGTAAAATTACAAATTGAAAAGTTGATTGTGCACCTGATTAGTTAGTTGATCACAATGGTAAATGAGTTTCAGGCTCACTCACAATTCTCAACAAAACCAAAGAATGACTCCATTTTATTTCCTTTTATTTAAAAAAAATCCACACAAAATGAGAGAAAATAAAGAATATTAGAGAGATGGAAAAACAGCAGAAGGGAATTAGTAGCATGAAATAAAGAGCATCCAAAGAAGGACTGACTGTAAAAGACACTCACTTTGTAAGGAAAAGGGTAAAAAAGACTAGAGGAATTGTAAGGGAATAAGATAAAAGGAGAAGGAAGGGATGCACCTCTGGAAACATAGATTAGATTAGGATAACATAAACAAATGAACATACACTCAGTTTCTCTCACACATACAAATATTATGCATCAATTGACTGCAGAAAATAAATGTACAGAAAAATTTCCTTTGAAGTGTTACTTCATTTAAAAAGGAACATACATCCTTTAAGACTGATAACAACCTTTTAATGACTCCAAAAGAATTAGACTTCTACCTTAGATTAAAGTACGAAATTATCGTGCTGATACATATTGAAAAAGTGGCATAACACAACACACACAACATACTATGACATATAAGACAAACATTCCAATGAGAGTCAAACACATTTTCCATGGAGAGATATACTGTATTACATCATATGGTTATTATTAATAATCCGTCTTATCTGTGTGCCAAAATGTTCTGGAGTTCTTTGGAAAGAAAAAAAGCCAACAACTCAATAACTTAGGGGATGTACCATGAGTCAAGTTCAACTTTGAAATGACTGTGCTTCTATATACTGATGTAAGTGAAATGAGGGACACAATGCTTTTGTATGACTCATGAGAGATGCATTGGGCATCACATTAAAAAAAATACACCAACTTCAAATGTAAGTTAGTCACATGAGGGCCAGTACTGCTTTTTGGCAAGCCTAAATGACAGCACATGTATAGCCAGGTACACTATGAGTGAGTTGATATTTACATCTTACATATTTAGATCCAGCTGGTGCCCAATGGGATGGAAAGGGAAGAATGGCCAATGGAAGAGAAGCCAAAGTCAGCACTAGATAGAGATAATTAATTCTTGGGACCGTTACTCTTCCTTTAGAATGACACAGAAGTAAAGCTCTTTGAATTTTAACATCTAAGTGAACCAAAGGATACCCAGCTGGTTGCTCTCATCTTGGTTCAGCAGGTTTCTGTACTAATGAAGTTGATTTTCAGGTGTGGAGGAAGATGTTCCTTTTCTGCCCACTACACAAAGCTCAAATGCCGCACCAGCCCTAATCCAACCTTAAAAGCAATCCTAAAGTGGCTTAACAAAAAAGTACTGTGGACTACGGAAAGAAAGATAAATGAGGGCAAACAACTCCAGGAGGTAACATGTAGAAAGAGAAGGATCAGTGGAAAAGACCAGTTAATGACTGTGGCCAAACTATAGATCCAAGAACAGAAGAGTCAAAGAAATTTGTCAGACTAGTATGCCGGAAATGACTATAAAATTTCCATATTTTACCTACAATACTTCATTCTCTAAAACAAAGCCTTAGTCCCACAATCTGTTCAAAGCTCGACCAGGAAGTACCACATACAAAATATCACATACAAAGCCTCAGGTTTTCCATCTCTCATAAGATCTCGTGAGCAAATATGGCCGATGGTGAGGGATCATAGAAGCGGTGCTTTGTTAACATTTAGAGGGGCAAAGGTTCCTAATGTAAATTTGAACCAAACCTTTATTTTTTAACATTGGGTTTTAAAGGATAGAAAAACCTTAAATGAACTTAAAAATAAGATTTAATTTCAAATGTCAATTTATTTCTTGCTACTAGAAAATCTACAGAAATTCTATGTACTTACAAAAAGATGTTTCTCATTATTTGTTAAGATATCCTTTATATGATCACCCCAGGAGCAAATTCCTTGCAGGCATACTTAGAGCTTTGTGTGACAGCCCTCCTCTGGCTCAACTTTGTATACTGCTTGTGGGCAAGGATGTGATTACTACCCATCAAGTAGCAAAATTTGCCCTGGCAGCAAAATTTGCCCTGCAGAACACCAAAAATCCTAAATCTTTCTTTTTAAGTGTAATTGTGATATGACAGTGCCACATATGTTTGATGCTGTCATTGATATATTGTGATGACCTATGGTTTTAAGCAATCAATTAATAAAGTAAAGTAAAAAGAAATTCATCCTGAAGTTTGGTACAACAGACTTCAGGAGATGAATTATAATTTTGTCTAGTGGCATCTCTGCAAGTTTCTGGGATAGCATATATATGTTAGGGTCGCTAAGCAATCAACCAATAAAGTAAAGTAAAAAGAAATTCATCTTGAAGTTTGGTACAACACACTTCAGGAGATGAATTATAATTTGGTCTAGTGGCATCACTGCAAGAGTTTCTGGGACAGCATATATATGTTAGGGTCGATCCCAAGCAGTTCCCAGGGAAAGGCATGCTAGAGGCTCAGGTGGAGGAGGGAGCAAGATCCTCACCCCCAAATATAATATTGGTAATCTTAATCCTCTCAAAGGGGACTACAAACTCTGCCTCCTTTTTTCATCCAGTTTGGACACATGCCCTCTCTTTCTACCACACACATATATAGGAATTTCATCTCTCTGTCTGTCTAGACATCCTTAAAAAAAAAAATCACCCACTTCAGACCTCAAAGATTCATTTGACATATTCTCTAATACCTACCTGTCTGAAATTTCAAAGGCTTCACCCACTCAGAATAAAACAACTATATTGCTGCCTCCACTTTCCAAGATATGGATTTTCCCACCACAGTTCAGATAGTAGGCATGCAAATCTGCAAGGGAAAAGCCTTCAAACAGAGCTCTGTGCATATATTCTTCCTTGGGAGCTGGAATTCTGATGGTGCAGAGTTCTGACTCCACAATATGTCTATGCACGTTGGTTCTCCTTTTGCAGACATGTATGCCCACTGCACAGGTGCCAAGGGAGGGATCACAAGAAGTCCATCCTAGGGAATACGGCTAGTAGTGCAATCCTGCTCCATGGTAACTGCACGAGAGCTCTTTGACATAGGAAAGGGCTACTGTTATCTTTTCAGCTTTGTCAGTTTTTGAAAGCAAAGGCAGTAACTAATTTACCAATAGTATATTGCTCTACTGGATAATCTGATTGTCTTATTATTTGGTATTCCATGTGATTTTTTTTTAAAGTGGTAACTACTGTTTTCTAGAAAATATTCATGACTGAAAAGTCTGGGGGCTTCTGAAACCACTCAGGACCCCCACTCTCATCCATTCACTTCTACATCACAGGAATTTTATCTATTCTATCGGTATTATCAGAACTTGGAAATACAATTTTTTGCATTAAATAGGCAATCTAATTGATGCAGTTTGAGAATCACCTTTCAAAATAGCAATGTAATGCTAACATTTATTATCAGAACTTGGAAATACAATTTTTTTGCATTAAATAGGCAATCTAATTGCTGCAATTTGAGAATCACCTTTCAAAATAACAATTGTAATGCTAACATGGTGCTTTCAAAATTAGTGTTTTCTTATGACCAGATATCCTTCCTGTTTAATGAAAACAATAATTTAATGTTAACATATATATGTAATTAACATGTTACCTCCAAACTCCGAAAAATATATATAAAGAATGCCAACATCATGGCCATGGATCTAAAGAACGACTTAGGTCTTATGCTACTGTTGAATTCTTTTTCTTTCAAAACAAGAGACTTTAGTAGCACTTTAAAGACTAGCAAGTTTTATTTAAGATACGTTTTTGTGGACTACAGCCCTTTTTTTTTTCAGAGGTAAATGGGCTGCAGTCCACAAAAGCTTATACCAAATAAAATCTGTTAGTTTTTCAGGAACCATGAGACTTAATGTAGCTATCTTCCTCCTTCGCCATGTAAGGAAGATGCTAAGGAATTTTAAAATTGCTTTTGTAGACTCAAGCGATTTACATCTTAAGTAATACTTCAAATTACATTAATAGTTCAAATTACTCTTAAAAAACAACATGAACTATTACACTAACTTTCAAGTTTCAGTACAACTCCACAAAATGTGAGTCATCTGCTGAACTGGGACATTAAAGTCTTGTTCACAAGTCTTTCCTTTCCCTGTTCATACGGACTGCAGAAAGGGGAGCGTTCCACCATACCTGAAGGCCTCATCTCCATATTCATGCATCCTCTGTGCATACCTCCTTATTTCTGTATGTTCCACAAAACTTTTAAACTGGCCCCTTGTGCATACTGTGCAGATATAGATTGCTTTTTTCGCTACTTTACATATTTCCTTCGATGAGCTCCAAGCAGTGTACATGGCCCACCCATTCCCAATTTATCATCACAAAAATCCTGAGATTGTGATGAGCCCAAGTTTACCCAGTGAATTTCATGGCTGAGTAAAGATGTGAATGCAGGTCTCCCCAACCTTAGGCTATTATATTTGTTCTGCACAAGGATTCCATGTGATCTAGAAATCTACATGATCAGGGTTCCAGAACTCTCAGAAGATTATACATGTGAGAACTATTTATTTTAACAGAAAAGTGTGATATAAATGGAATAAATGAATTAATAAGCAGGTTTGTTCTCTATCTAATTCCCTATATAACTGTTCTTGTGCTGCAAAAAAGCAGCACATATACAGTCAAAAGCATCGTGATAGAGACCCCTTCCAAAAATTGGAATTTATATTTCAAAAGAAAACTGCTATTCTAAATGGAAATTTGCTGTTCAAAGGTGGGAAGTCTAAAGGCCTTGGGGGGGGGGCAGGTTTAGAACTGGTTTCATGGTTCTTTAGATATTGCCCATCAAGTAGGGACACTTTTATATGTGCATTAGTTTTGGGAGGCTATTAGAACCAGAAATACATAACACTGCAGTTGCAATGAAAAAAAAATACTTGAAGAACTGTATACAACAGTCTATTTATGCTATTATTTTATATTTTCATCAAAACACCTGCACTTGTCGAAAGAAACTGGACCAAGTGGAATGTAGCAGCAGTCTAATGCCAAGCACACTCAGCAGGATTAAGTGCTTACTTGTGTTCATAGCCATCACTTTAAACAGGACTCAGACGTGTCTAAATTTTCCAGGATTTGCTGAAAGTGTTTTGGTTTAGCTTTTGCCTCCTCAGCGATGAGCCAGACAAGGTATAAATAAAGCATACATTTAATTGAAGTCAATGGGCTTATATTGATTTACACAAACTGTCAATCTGGCCCAGTGTCTTCTATTTTGTTACTACTCCAATGTCTCTTGTCGGTAAGTACTCTATAAACAAACACAGACTGCCAGGAGTCTTAGAGGAGAAAGCTTTTCTTCTCCCATTATGGATACTGCTGACCTTTTCGGCTTTGGGCAGAAGTTTTGTTTCACATTCTGACAGATGACTTTGTCTAGCAAAGATCTGTGACAAGGCTTTTGGCACACAGAAGGAAGAAAAGTCAAGCTTAATGACACAAATTATAGGACTGGGACAGAATAGCTGACTAAGCTAAGTAATCAAACAACAGTTAATAGCATTAAGGTCACCTTTTCTCCCTTTTCTCCTACATCACCCTTTTCTCCACGAGGACCAGGGAAACCCTATAAAAAATGAACAAAATTACCTATATTGGCTTCTGTTTATTATGTGGCTTCGTCGCTACTATATAGCTCAATTATACGCAAGACACGCACAAACCACAAATATTGCACCAAAAAATTGGAAGTTAAAAAAAAGAATTCTATATATCCAGCAAGATATTGCAGATACCCAGACAGATCGAAGGCCAACACCTGTTTTCCTACATGCAAACCACTACTGGCAATGTTTTAAGCTAAGCGATTCAACAAGGAGTTACTGGTAATGAATATGTGGAAGAAAAGATTAGAATGATCTTTTCTTACTGCTAAGAAGTTACAGACCCCGTTAATATTCTGATGCATTTTTTCTTAAGAAATAAACTTCACTGCAATCACCACATGCAATCAGTGGTGTTGTTACAGTTTGGAAAGACAAGAGTTCCATGTGGCAACATGCTTGTATGAAACAGGTTGAAAGAACTGATTTAAGCTTTTTCAACCAGGCAATGACAGCCTTTTTTTTTTTGTGGCTTACATCAATACTGTGAGAAAGAATTGCATAAGGGCTGTGCTCACAAATGTGGTGTTCTATGTGGCTGCATTTCCAACACTACTGATTGCATCTGTAACTCTGTGTGGATTATTCTGCACTTATTAGAATAAAGCATAATATTATGGAATTAAAAACACTTTCCATGATTATCTGTTTGGTACTCTGATTAACATCAGTTGTTGCACGCACTTATTAGTGGCACTTATTTATATATGAGATGTACAAGTCTTCCTTTTATTAGCACTGTTCTCTTCAAACATGTCATTATTTCCTATTTTATTTCATTATCTAAAGTCAAACAACAATGCAATGTTTAGTATATTCTCTGCATGATTGTCATGCACACAAATGATAAACACTTCAACATGCTCCAAGCATGCAGCTGTTACTTAAAACAAATGTTTACCTACCACACAAATAAATGGATGACATATATTACTTACATCAAGGCCAGGTTCGCCATCTTTTCCCTATTAAAGAACCATATTGATTATGTTATGCTTTGTGAACTTTAGCTCAGGTTGCAGAAGATTGATACCTGTCAGGACAATTAAGATTTACAACACCTGTACTGTGCGTAAAACACAGTCTTGCAGCTGGATCCTTGGGTTTGGTTTAACACGAAGGCATCAAAGTTCTTTAAATGAAGGCCAGTCATGAAGAAGACGCTTGAAATAGGATGCGCGGGAACAATTTTGTATATAAAATGACCCAGTTAATTTGAGCTGATGTAGCAGCATTCCTGAAGTGGCTGCTAGAACGGATAAGAGGGTGGATGAGGGCTCATAATGTACACTTTATAAGTGGGATGCATATTCCCAAATTGTATCCACTGTTGGTCAGGGTGTTCTAGATGAGGTTGCACTTCCCTCAACAATCAAGTGTACAGTCTGGGGGTGCTCACTAGTCAAGCTTAAAACTCACTGCCAAAGTAGCAAGTGTAGCACAGAGCATTTCTCACCTGCTGGAACAGCTTGGCCAAAGTCATCCACATATTAGATTACTGCATTGCCCTGTACATGACATTGCCTTTGAGGTCTGTTCAGAAATAGTCACTAGCAGTAAGAAAAGATTGTTGTAATCTTTTCTTCTACTAACTGAGACCAGTCACTGGGATTACATCTTGCTGATGCTTCAATAGCTTCCAGATTTCCAGTCCCTCTTCCAAACAGCGGTATTCTTTAAACTACCTTTCTCCCATAGTTTGTGACTTAGATATCTGAAGATAAGGCTAAATTCACATTAATCTCTTTCTGTATGTTACCTCTGGAGGTCCTCCTTTAGACACCAACACCATCGTAGGTGGGTTTAGTTGTGGTATATTATCTGTGGAACACATTATCCAGAAGATACATAGAGCACCTACACTGAAATCTTTTTTTTTATGCTGTATATTTCTATTAATTTTTAAATGATTCTTGATATTTGTTCTAGATGATGTTTTAATTTCTGATGCTATGGCTTCATTAGGAATTTTGTATCTTTCCTTGAAATATTAGGAATACTGTACATTGGTTATCAGTTCACCTGTGCCTTGGAAAACTGACCTTAAGATCATGGTTTCCCCTCCCTCCCATGAGATGTTATTAGCAGTGGTGATGGTGTGAACTCCATCTGAACTTGGTGAGTGCACAGAGGGTTGTACACAACCTGGGCTATGCCCACTCCGATTGTCTCCACCCTCCTCCAAGTCTTAGAGAATTGGGGCCTTTTAAAATAAAAGCTCTCTTAAGCCTTTTCGTGGCAAAAATGTATTAAAAATGAAAAAAACATTGTTAAGTGCAGGGAGAAACATGGCAAAACATGGCAAAATTGTTCCTGCCTTCTTGAGAGGGCACAAAAGGAGCCAGTGTTTTAAAACAAATAAAAACAAATTAACTCTTTTTAAAAAAATCTTTAACAAGCACTATACTAGAGGCATCATTTGGGCTGACACTTCTTGATTACATAGTGACGAGTGCTTCCAGAAGGCATCTATGACAAGCTATGTGCTTTTTCTCTAGTCCCGCATGAGTTTGGATGGAGAAGGTCCAGTCCACCCATGGCCTTTGTCTGTTCCTTCTATAGGCTAACAGTCTAAGGATCAAACAGGCATCCCTAGAACCACATTCTGGCTTCCAGAAAATAATTAAGCCTCATCCTTGCAAGTCTGTCCAAAAGCATGCCATGAACAGCAGTATTAAAAGCCGCGGAGAAATCTATCAGAACCAACAGGGATGTGTTTCCTCTATCAAGGTCTCAGTATAAATTATTCACCAAGGTGATCACGACAGTCTCTGTTTAAAAAATGAATCTACAGCTATATCGAAACAGAACTGTAAACAGTGAAATGGAAATATACGACACAAGTGTTTTAGAGGGTAGTCAACGGCTTGAAAAGCAGTTTGACAGTCTGGTGAACTCTATGCTCTGAGCTAGGAACTCTCCAATAAAAATATCCTCTCCTCTCATGAGCAATGAATAAATATATCACTCTCTCAGCTATACTTCACACAACTGGCAAAACAGGAAGATGATCAAAGCACATCTGTGTCACACATACAGGCCAGGATACAGTGGTGCATTTCTGCTGGATCCTACAAGTTTGCCAGAATCCCTCTTGTAGTCCCTCTTCCTTAAAAAATGGCTCTGGAAACATGGGAAACCTCTCGGAGAAGGTTTTTGGTACCACAGAGGGCTTCAGAAGAGAAGGAAATCCAAATTTTGCTGAAATTGGACATATAAATATACTGCTGAATATGAAAGTGCACCAGTGCGTTATGGCCATTTTGTTCATTTAATTAAAAACACATCACAATTCACTAACAAAACTGCACAATGATGGACAAACTATTCAAACAACAATTAAATTAAAATACACAGAAACCTCCCCAAATCTTACTAAGGTAAGCATTAAAACCTGAAAAATGCTTGACTAGAAAGGTGGATTTTTAACAAGCGCCAAAGTACCATAAAAGTTTATTCTTTTTCTACAGTCAGGTAAGGGATGGGATAGAAACAAACCAAAGTTAGGGTACCAAACCAGAAAAGGTCTTCCCCCAGTTGCCATCAGTTGTCATGTGCAGTCTGAAAGACAACCAGAATACAGGCCATAGAAAAGTACTAACATAGATCACCCTCATCTTCTTCTGATACAGGCCATAGAAAAGTACTAACATAGAAGATCACCCTCATCTTCTTCTATCTTCATGAAGGTAGTGACATGCCAAGTGGCAAGCAAATAGTCACATGTCCTCAAGTCTAGGAAGGAAGAAAAACCCAATACTTATACCATTTAAGCATATCTAAGGGTAAGGCTGGTTGGACAGTGTCATCGAAGCTACCAACATGAATTTGACCCAACTCTGGGAGGCAGTGGAAGACCGGAGGGCCTGGCGTGCTCTGGTCCATAGGGTCACAAAGAGTCGGACACGACTAAATGACTAAACAACAACAACAAAGGGTAAGGCTACTCTAGCAGCATGGAGCAAGCTAGTGTGGGCTGTTTGGGGACAGTCAGGCTTGATTAGAATGGTCTAATCAAGCCTGACTGTTTATAAGGACTCTTGCCAATATTGTGAAATGGCTGAATAAGTGAGACACTTCAGGATATTGGGAAATTAATCATTTCCTCTGCTCGGCAGAGAACAAGGGAAGTGGAAAAAACATTTTGACTGTACTGTACAGTATGTAAACTATTGCTGATGCAACAGTCTAAGGGCTGATCAAGAAACTTCCTTCAGCCAAAGCCATCACTGTGGATTTGACTATGGCCAATTTTTCAAGCAGCCCTTTAAGGTGAGTCAAAGAAAAGTTTTTTATATAACTCATGCAGCAAGCACATCACACAAAGTTTACACAGAGTCAATAGATTTTTGTTTCACTTCACCTGTCCTCTGCCAAGCAGGGGAAATGATTAATTTCCCAATATCCTGAAGTGGCTTGCTTAAAAATTCACTTCACAATATTGGCAAACTGAAAGAGGAAGACTTGTTTTGGATTGGTTCCAGTGATCCTACACACTGGAACCAATCCAAACTGCAGCAATTCCAACTGCACCAGCAGTAGACCCTTGACAGGAGCCAGAAAAGTACAGCTGTCTTTAAGTGTGCGCCAGTCCATGCCTGCAGTGTTCCAAACAGTGGGCTAAACAACTTGTGAAGTCAGCTTCTAAGAGCTGTTTAGTAATTAGTTCTGCTTCCCTTGATCACTGTGCTCAAATGAATCTTTGCATCTGCAAAAGACTCATTTAAAAACATAATTTCTCAGATGATCCAAAAGCTCATAAAGTATGTGTGAACATACTTGCAGAGTAAGTGCTCAAAAAAAGAGACACACAAATCTCACTCAAAGTTCATTGGTGTTTGGAGAGGGGCAGGAGGCTGGGGATAAGCTTGATTAAATTCTAATCCCAAACTATTTGAATGCAATAATCTGTAGACGTTTGATATATTGGCTGTGTTTCAAAGCATGTGTAGGGTGATTTCCCCAGCGCTGGCTGGGCTGTGGAAAAGAATGATTGGTTTTGTGTATATATGATAGTAGGAGAAGATGGAGGCCTGATTTCCTCACATTTATTTTTTAAATGAGAAATCCATGTTGAAAGCTTTACTTGAACTAATTGCTTACAAAAATGTGTATTATTTATTTCAAAGGTGTGAACACAATCTGCACATAGGTTGATATATTTGTCCATTTACATTGTAATCGAGTGAGGCATGATGTTTAGGGTGAAAAATGTTCCTGGGAGTACAAATGTAGGCCTGAGAGCTAACTACCTCATCCTACTGAGCAGGCAAAACCTTGCTCTTCAGCTAAGCTTTTTCTCAATAACTGGCTGTCTGAAAGGGGGTTCTTTAAAATAGGGTTGTTGGGGGGTTGTTTCATTTCTTTAATTTAAGTTTTTAATATTGCAAACCGCCATAGGCCCTCTTGAAGAGAAAGGTGGGGTAGAAATGTTTTAAATAAATAAATAATGTCAGAACGAACATAGAAAGTTGGCTTCCAGAATCATGCTACTGACCAGCATAACTCAATGGCTGAAATCGTGGAAGGCTGGTGATGCCATCAGTTATGGGGTTTTCTGGAAAAAAATTCAGATTTCTCAATTGGAGGTCCTTGGGCTCCTACAGAATCCCTTTTGCCATGAGGAAGTCATATGGGGCTATGGGATGGGAGGTGAAAGTCTTGAATTACCAAATATTGCTGCTGCCAGGATGAATTTTCTGATGGGGATGATTTTTGATATTTAAAGACCTCTTCCTCCTGTCCCACAGCCCCCAGTGGCACTCTGACAATAAAAGGGATTCCAGGGAGCCTTGAGACTTTTGGGGGATGAAATCAGAAATGTTTTATTTCTGAAAAAATAGCTGCATAATGTAACTTATGCAACAGGATTTCAGCCAGTGTTTTCTGCATTGATCACTAGCTGCTCCTCATGCACTCAAACACAACTGACCAAACACGTAACAACCTGGCTTTGTTCAAAAAATAAACTCACTTAGAGTAAACTGGTTGTACTCCAGAATTTCTACTACAGTTGTCTGGTCAGTACTATTCACTTCTGATTATGAATAAATGTTGAAGATACTTATGTTCATTTCAAACTTATGTCTGAAGAAAATGGCTTCTACAGCACATTATATTGCTGGTATGGATTCAGCTGTTGCTTATCAAAGGTTAAGATATATATAAATACTTACCAAACAACTAGAGTGGAGATTCTGAAGTACAGCTACTGTATTTTTCGCTCCATAAGACACACTTTTCTTCCCCCAAAAAGTGTGTGTGTGTGTGGGGCTACTGTATTTTTCGCTCCATAAGACACATTTTTCTTCCCCCCAAAAGTGTGTGTGTGTGGGAAAGTGTGTGTATCTTATGGAGCAAATACTGCAAAATGGTGCAATTCCCTAGAGCCCATGCTGCTGTCATACGTGGCCGGGCTCTGTACTCATTAGTAGCGCTACGTGGCTGGGCTCTGTACTCATTAGTAGCATTGGTAGGACCAGCGCTGCTTACTGGACAGCCAGATCACGTGACCAGCCAGATGTCGGGGGAAGCAGGGGGGGGGAGAGCACCGTGGAGCAGCCAGATCATGTGACCAGCCAGATGCCGGAGGAAGCAGAGAGGGGGGGGAGAGCACTGTGGAGGAAGAACAAAACCTTCTGAAACCAATTACCAGTAAGTTTAATAGGCCTGAGACTGGCGAGGGGAAGATAAAGTTGCGTCTGAGAGCCTGCTGGATGGGAGAAAGGTGGCTAGAATAGCTGTCTGTAGTTCAGAGCTTGGCAGGAAGCTGCATCACTTCCCCATAAATTAAGCCTAAATAGAAGTAATTTTGCAGATATTTAAAACATTTAGGGACCTGGAGGGGGGGGTCTTATGGTGTATCTTATGGTCAGGTGCGTCTTATGGAGCGAAAAATACAGTGTTTTACTCTCAGTGAACTTTGCTTTTCAAACAAAGCCAACTGATTTTACAGTATGTTTGGTCAGTATTGTTTAGCAATTATGGCTCCCTGATAAATTAAATTAGCAGAAGTTTTTGCAGATCCAGGATTTTCATACCACAGAAGCTGATGGTTAAGTACTGACTATACATATGGACACCTCCTCTCAATTTGAATATTTAATCTTCGGGATTCATTGACTTTTTTTCTTGGACTTTTTACAGCATATAAAATGTTGAGGAGGAAAAGATAAGCAAAATAGTTTAACTTTTATCCAGAAGCCCTAATCTCAGCAAAGCCCCATGCTTCTGGATTTCTACTGTGTACCCATATCTTACGGCTAGTAATTATAGTTTGACTGATTTGCATTAACTGTACTTTACGATCAACCTTTGTGTGCATTCTCACATTTTTGTAATTTAATATAACTTCGAAGATAATGATGAGACTTTTGCACCAGCAGTTAAAAACACTAAACTCAGAACTCAAGTGCTGCAGCTAATAGGAAGATACACATGGAGAATCTAGACATGAAGACAGTTTTCCTGCATGGTAGTATACAAGATATCAACATGCAGCAATTGCACACATTCAAAATTCTGGAAATATCTGTGAACTAAAAGAAGCTGCAAAAGCATGGAGCAAAAAAGTGAATGTTGGTAAGAGAAAACTTTGAACAGACCCATGCCTCTACAGCAGACTCAGAAACAACAGGTGAGGTCTATATCCTGATTTTTGCAAATTATTTAATTCTACCCTATGAAAATCTAGGTAACTGTAAAGAACTACTAAATCACCTGAGCTGTAGAAGTGAAAGAGCTGGAAGACACAGCATACCTTGGCATTTAGTTTGAATAAGATGGATTGAAGAACTTCCTAAAAGCCAATACCTAGCTGATGCCTACCAAGCAACTACATCAATAAAAGTAGGATACATCAGTTCAAATCAAACCAAACAACCATAGTCAGACAATGGAAATACAAAGAAACAACTGAAAAACTTCAATACTTCAATACTGTTCTAAGGCTAGATTTGGGTTGCCAGTGCTGGAAGACAAGTTCACCAACCAAGGAAGACCAGAAGCAGTAAAAGAGTGACAGAATACTTGAAGATATGTATGATTAGACCAATAGTGCTGCTGATGACATCAACCAGCAGAAGCACGTTCTACTATGGACAAGCAGTGGTCTGCTGGACAAGGTGAAAACAAAGATGCAGTGGCCTTATTATCCAAAAAAGGAAGAGTATGTATCTAGAGCATTGCAAGGAGATAATACAGCTACCCAACTAAAATTAGACTGAGGCACACATGAATCAGAACCCATGATGATTTTTGAAGACAATCAAGGATGCATACTACAACTTACATACACAGAAAGAATGAGTACATATATGAAGCACATCACCTGAAATACCACGTTAATTAGAGATATGCAGAGTGATGGACTCCTAGAACTGGTCCAACCAAAGAGATGATAGCTGATATATTGATCAAGCAGTTGGGCAAGATCCATCACATGAAGTTGTAAGACAAGATGAAGCTCACAGACTGAATGCAAACTTCATTGAGAAAGGGTGCTGAAGGTCAGTGTATGCAAATCAAGCTCACACTGAAGAAAATGTATGTCTTTGCAGGGGGAGGAGTAGATACAGAAGGACTTTCTTGGGTTTCCTAGACTCCCCCCTTCTTTCACCTATGTTGACTTTTCTACAGTCTAGAGTAACATTCTGGATTACTGATGTCAGTTCCTGCCTTCTTACATTTCCTCCTTTGAACCCCCTCTGGGAGAGGGCAGAGGACACAGTTTGCCTCACAAGAGATGAGAAGGCAGGCACGCCTCCATGCATTTCTTGTATTTGCATTATAATTTGTTTGGACCACACGACTGCCCTTTATTTCAGTTAGAACAAGGACTCCTATGATCCGTTTGATGTGTTTTTCTATAATTAGAATAAGAGTCATTTTTATATAAGAATAAGAACTGTGAATGTGATTTCTTTCCAAAGGGGAAGTGTTTTCCACGTACCAAATTTTCAGGGGTAAACTCCAAAAGCTAACTTAGCTGGTGCTTGTTCCGCTAACAAAAGAGGAAAGCGACTTAAACTGAACAGTCACTTTTAATAGACTGCAGTACCTCCAACGCCTGCAAATTATTTCTGCAAATAATTTCATAGGAAAGGAGGATGTTGCAGCAATGTATTTGTTTGAAGGAAAACTGGTCACTCTTTTGTATTGAGGACATTATTGAGTTCCTGAAGTAAAAATAAAATGGACCTGAAAATTTTTATTGGCTTGAATTCTTTCTATTACTTTCTGGTGCCTAGAGACAAATAATAATACACATATATTGCAATGGAAACAGTAAGAATTTTATAAAAGAGTAACTCTAGATTTGGTTTTTCTCAGTATTGTTAGCCCTACTCCACTATTGTTCCATACATGTGACAGTATAAAATGTATCTAAATGTGAGATAAAAGACAAGTCTTATGAGTAGTGACCTTTTTACCAACAAAACTAATTACATTTCCTTATGATGAATGGTCATAAAAAGGTAGTAAGGGTTAAGGTCAAAGATTTCTAGACACTGTGCTTGCTAAAAGTGCTACGTAACTTACAGGCAAGCCATATGGTCCTCTGGGCCCAGGGTCTCCAGTAACTCCCTTTTCACCCTAAAATGCAATAGAAAAAATATTTAATTTAAATGGCCAGCAAATTTATTTATTTATTACATTTGTATCCCATCTTTTCTCCAAAGTTCAGGACTACACATGGGGTTGTTTTTCATCATTCTTGAATGATGAAAAACAATTCAGTGACTTTAATGAAGATGCACTTCCAAAACCTGGTACTTGAAATGTGTATCTATGGGTAACCGATCTGGGGTGAGTGCATACAGCCAGTCCCACCTCCCAATTTGGGAGGCAGAAATCTCCACAATGCACACAAGCATTGACTCTTGTGCGTTCAGAGTTCCAGTAATGGCTTCAGTGAAAAAAAGAAAATGGCTGGTTCTGGCACCCAAACTTTTAGCTACTGGTAGCAGAGAATTCAGCTGCAATTCTTTATGGTATGATTGATGTTGCTGACTAATCTTGAAGGTTAATTTGTTGCCTCTCCTGGTGATGATTTGGCATTTTTTTCCAGTGATGTGGTTTTTTTCTGGTGTGGCATTGCTGGCAGAATCCAGACTGCAGTTGCTTTTCAGCTGGAGACTTTGAGTGTGATTAGGTGGAGATTTGCCCTACTATTTGATCTGGTCACGGGACAGGCTGATCCACCCCTTTTCCTGGCAACCACACAAAACACGTGCCATTGTGAATCAGCCCATCCCTGATCCATTGCTTTTTGGGTCCCTGTTGAGGGCTGTTTTTTTTGGGGGGGGGGTTATGGATAGGATCACTCCCTGTTGATGTGAGTGAGAGAGCTGCAAGGGCTCGTAAGCAGCTTCTGTGTAATTACTGTTAGGTGTTCCATGTGTCTGACATCCTGGGTCACAGGATATTTTATGTTTCTTTGAAACTAGCTGCTTTGTTCAGTGATACGTTACTAGAAATTGCTAATATCAGTGGAAGTTCAATTACCTTTTTCTGCAGTAGTGATTAAGAAAATGTATTTTCTAAAAATATATATCTAAAATGTTGAACCTTTATGTCACTTGACAGTTTTATTATGCCCTAGAATATATCTTATTTTTTATTCTGCCATATTAATATGACACCATGGTATTTTTATTTGAAAATAAAAATACACAGAGTGAACCGATACAGGAAAACTGCGGCATTTTTCAGACATTTATTAAGTTATCCACAAAGAGCTGAAATAGGCACTCACTCTGTCTCCTTTTGGTCCTGCAGGGCCATGTGGACCAACTGGGCCATCCATACCCTGAAAGGTTAAGTAGGTATGTTGATAAAAATATTGAAAATTCCTAGACGAATGCCCACATTTAGAAAATAACTTCATTAGAATCACGTTTCATGTCAATGGCTGAAAACACAGGCTGGATTTTAATTACAGGGAGGTGAGCACCCGAGTGCTCAGGAATGCTTAAAGCTACAGTCTGTTGAGTTTCATAGTGCATCTTCTCATCTCATTCTTTCTTTACTGTTTCTTTACTTTGCTGTTTTAGATTAGCTAATTTATAGAGGTATGAAATAACAGATTCTCCTTGAAGAAGTTAAATAATTAAACAAAAGCAGCTTCGACAAGCAAAAAAAAAAAACATAACAAAGCAAAACATGCAGAATTCACAAAAAGATCCACAACTATACGTAACTAGCTTAAGGAAACAAATCTTGAAGTTACAGTTGTGTACAAATGTAACCTTTCCATCATTAGAAAGCCAGAACATTTGTTGCAGTAGCAGTAGGGCTTCAAGAGTGAATCATAATTTCCTCTGCGTATAAAGCCACCCTAAAGTAGCTGGTCCGAAATAAAACCAAGGTTTGCTCTGAGCATTGCAAATATTAGTTTCCTCTTGTTGAAACTGAAGAAAGGAAAAAGAAAAAGAAGGCTATGCCATCATCAAAATTAAAGAGTAATTTTGCTAATATGGGCTTTCAAAGATGGAGTAATGAAATAATTAATCATCATCAACCTCATCTTACAACTACAGAGGCGGAAGGGGCCATATAGATCATGTTGAAACTGAAGAAAGGAGGAGGCACAGTGGGGAATCGAACTGTATACAGTGGTGCCCCGTATAGCGAGGTTAATCCGTTCCGGATTAACCTTTGCTATACGAAAACATCGCTGTGCGGGTAAGTAAAACCTATTGGAACGCATTAAACTTAGTTTAATGCGTTCCAGTAAGTGTGCAAACTTCCCCCCCAGCGATGTTTTCGCGTCCGGCGGCCATTTTTGGAGCCGCCGATCAGCTGATCGGTGGCTCCAAAATGGCCGCCGGAGCCCCAATCGTCGCAAAGCGAGTGCGGCGATTGGGGCTGATCCGTATAGCGATCCCCAAAAAGGGATCGCTATACGGATTTTTCGTTAAACGGTGCACTCGTTAAGCGAGGCACCACTGTATTAAGAAAAAGAAGAATGGTGCATTCGCCATAACCTGAGGTTGCTGCACATATGTTTGTCATTGGTTTGGTTTTTCTTACGTGCAGTGTCTACAAGCAGAATTTCCAGGTAGCCATATAAAACATTTGTTGCAGCCCAAATGTCAGACACAGTTCTTGAAGACTGCTGGCCCTTCTCTAGTGAGAGTTATTAATGGAATATCCCATAAGTTGTTGTGTATTCAGTTTTGGTAGAAGAGTATGACATTGGAACACAAGGGACTCACCCGGGGTCCTGGCTTTCCATCTAAGCCAGATGCTCCCTGTGTGGTTAAGTGGAAGCATAGACGATAGGGATAACACAGATGACAAGAATGCAAGATTAGTAAATGGTGATGAACATATAAAACTTCTATATGTACACAGAAAACACACAGTTACAGGGTTTTAGAATAAGTATCACAGTACTGCATTAGGTTAGTTATAATTTACACATAACATGAAGAGCCTGATTCTGACTCCATTTGCAATATGTCTGTATTAAGAGTATTCCCCTTATTTAGTGGATTTGCTCTTGATTTCATGAGATCAGAATGAGCCTCTAGATGTATTAGTGCTACAAACCTCACATTGTCATGGAGTTTGCTGTACATTAATATATACAACCTCCTTTGTGTGTTAGTAAAAGAAACCTGGAACACAGAACAAAGGGAATAAAGAATTTGACACAGAGGTCTGATAATATTTTCATAACAAGAATGAAAATGTGAAGAAACCAGTCTTTCATTGCAAATAAAAAATATTGGAACTCAGAAGAATGGCCTGATGGTGAGACTAGGGAAACAAATGGCATAAACTCTTATAAGAATATCTGTGTTTCTTCACAATATTACGATTTATAGCATGTTCCTGGGCAAGGTAGTACGTGAAACGTTTTACAGTGCAAATGGTGCATAGCAATGTAATGTGAAACCATTTAACTAGTAGACTACTTCAACAATTGTTTCAATAAGATACGGATTTTGTCTGGTGTGCATAAAATATCTGTGAGGTTTGTACTCATCTTTCCGTTACTGTTGAGGAACAAAGGACCTTGGTGGTTACAATATGAACAAAATAACCCAGTCTGAATTGAAGAAGCCAGATGACTTCACGTGGCCAGTATTTACATCACAGATGAGTTTCATGCCACTTAAACTGTCCTGGCTTCATATGTACTTCAACAAACTACAAATTCCACGAATCCATAAGACAGAGTCCTCTTGGCCGAAGTGGCATCAAACTGCCTTAACTACTGAGTGGACTAATGCCACCATATTGTGTCTCTCAAAACAAAAAATAAAATCCTTGATAACAAACTAGGCAAAGTTAGCCATTTTAAGTCCACACTGATTTCAGAGTGGAGTCCATGCTGAACGTCCATTGAATCTGGGAAGTGCTACACTTTGCCTTTATTAGATCCCTTCAAAGCAGACTGGCTTTGGTCATCTTTTATTTTGCATTGTGGAAGTTCTACTGATAGTTGAATTATCTGTTTGCATTTGTATTCAGAAACATTTCACAAATTCCTCAGCCCTCTTACTTAAAAACCTTGAATATACCATATTGAAATATGCTTTTAATTTCCTTTCACTGATAATAATTGGACTATAAATAGCACCAAAATGATTGTTCCAAAAGCAGTCAAATAGAAAAATGCTCATGTCCACGAGGAATGAAGAATACTTAAAATTATGTGATCATGCTTCCTAGCTTATTTAATCACATATGTCCTTTATTATAAATGCAGCCACTGAATTTAAGTAAGAAATTTGTGAGGTCATCAGCAAATATATGTCAATATTAAAAATATTGTTAAATCAAACATCACACAGCATCCAAATAATGATTTAATTAATGACTAGATCCAAGTGCTGTTACACTGTTGACGCTGACAAATGACAAAAAAATAAAATGACTAAAATAAACAACAGATAAAACTGGGTATTATGATATGATATGACATGATCACAGACTCTGGGTAAAAACGAAACAAGACTGGCATTCTATTCCAACATGGGATAGTTTGATATGGGATATTGAGTAAACCAGAGTTTTTGGTTGAAAATAGAAAGAGAAGTTTGCAATTTGCACTGAAATGGAATAGGTATTTACTTACTGGAAGACCAAGGGGCCCTCTGTCACCCTTGTGACCTGGTTCACCCTTCAGTCCTTTAAGACCATTTAACCCTGGTTCACCCTAAATGTAAAAGTATAAATGCTATTTTGGGTGGTGCTGACATGGTTATTAAAGGTGGGACAGAGGAAAGGTAATCAAGGACATGGCTGCAAACTCCAGTTTTTTTAAAAAATATATATATAACTGGTTGTATTCAACAAAGTTCATAATTTCCTCCTCATCAGAATGTAAATTACAAAGAGGAATGGTAGTGATCCGTATTTAAATAGATGGCACTGAGCTCCTATTAATATCTCTACATATTCAAATCATGATAGCTTCGAAACATTCCTGAATAACTTAGTAATGTATAATTGTAATTAAATATTGTTTTTCCTAGTATGGATTCCAGGATGATTTATAAGTGGCAGGTCTTCTTTAAGATTAAAGAAACCAGAAAATCAGGTATCTTATTTCAGCCAATTAAAACTAAAAGCTGCTCAATGTGATGCCTTAAGTGGTCTTTTTCTTATTGTGGCAAACTGGAATGTGCAGGATGCCATGGAGAGATATGCTGAACCTTTAAGCACACTTAGTGAAACAGAGGACAACTGTGGTGCATTGGGGTAGACCACGATACAATGGTCCTCAAAACTGTGAATGTGATTTTATTGGCAACTGTTGTCATCTTTTGATGTTGCTGAAATTCCATGTGAGATGCCGTACAAAGAAGTTGAAAGTTTTTCTAAGACATACAGTACGTAAAATATGAACCATGAATCCAAAGGGAGTCCCTGGGTGGGCTTCAGAAGCTCTGTGAGCAGAAATATGTGTTTATGCACTTTCTGCGGAAAAGGTCCAGTTTTGATTCGATTCTCAAAGAAGGGCGAGCGCAAGCTGTGGAGAAGCATGTCCTCTTTGCAGCATAGGCTAACATTTCCTGTGCAAGCCCTCTGAGAGCTGCCCAACTGCAAATGATACAACACTTTCGTCTGATTACAATGTCAATGTCCACATGACAGTTTAAACCAGTCCCAAGCCTATTCAACTGCCATGACTTCCAATTAAAGTTTCCCTGGCATTGTTGCTCTCTTATGGCCAGAGTGAGTCCTTTGTCTTAACGAAGAAAGTGTTCTATCAGATAAGCACTTATAAAGCTATAATCCTGAATAATCTGTGTGGAAAGGTATGACACTTCAACCTGATTTTAGTCTACTTCAGAACTACAGTGTATATGTCCCTTTCTGTGTGCTTAATCTACATGTGCCAGAATTTTAAAAAACCCACAACACCATGCCTTGGGTGGCTTTTGAGGTATTTCATAGAATTTGAGTGTGTTCTCAACAGTAACAATGTATTCTTTGCAGTTAGCTCCTCCAGATGGAACAAAGATCCACCACCACCACCGGGTCTTGGTTTCTCTCATATGGTTGCATAGAGCAGTGGTCCCCAACCTTGGGCCTCCAGATGTTCTTGGACTTCAACTCCCAGAAATCCTGGTCATCAGAGGTGGTGGTGAAGGCTTCTGGGGGTTGTAGTCCAAGAACATCTGGAGGCCCAAGGTTGGGGACCACTGGCATAGAGTACAAAGCTCACTGAGATTCATGTCGATACTGCACCGTAAAAAATGGCACGAGACTCATCAAAAGGCTGTGTTGTGGCCGGTGCAGGAGCCCGACCTCCTCCACGGTCTGATGAGGCTGGAAATAAAATGGCGGCAACCACATGGTGGCTCCACGCAGCCCTCTGGGAGATGCCTGTCTGGCTGAGATTGTGCTGGTGCCTCCAGATTGGCCCGTGCAAGCATTGCACAGATTCAGCAGCTGACCAGCAGACCTGAGAACAGGGTTTTCCAATCTGGTCTGCTGGTGCAGCATATAACAGGGGCTTTGCTTGCTGGGTCCCCTTTCAACTATGGATAGCATTCTCCCAACCCCACCTGCCACAATTGTTCCAGGGTTCCATGATTTTAAGAGTTGGCCATCAGGCAAAGTATGATTGTTAGCTATTTTCTCCCCTTTTTCTTTCTAGTTACAACTTTGTCGGCAGTTTGGAAGCATTGGGATGGATCCAGGGGAGTGATAGATGGCAGTCAGGGATTTGCCAGTCACGATTTGTAAGGAACCCCTTTAAGGGGCCCAGGACACTGGGTGGCAAGGAGAAATAGAGTGGCTTACACATGCAGGGTTTCCAATGACTGCCATTCCTATGTTATCACCCAGAAGGAGCTGGGAAGATAAAGAGTACATCAGGTGGCACTCAGGCCTCCTGATAGGATTTGATCCAGCCCCAGTGTCCAACTCAGGGAAACTGCATGCTATAAAGCTGTGGCCTTTTACCTCCAGTTATGTTTGGTATGTTTTAATTGGGGGAATGGGTGAACTGGCCTAGTAGTAGATCCAGAAACGCCCTTGTCTCATCTAGGGCCATCAGAATTGTGGCTGACTTGTGGCTTTCTTGGTACATAGTACTCAGAAGTTTGCAATTTTTATATTTGATAGATGTCCTGGCATTCCTCAGTTTGCCCAACATTACACGGGCTGTTTTTTCTCCCAAGAACCACAGTGAGGAACTGAATGTCCAACTTCTGTCTCTGCAGCCAGACACCTGACTCATTGGGCTGTCTAGATTTCACCTCTAAAATGATTTCTCTTTGGGAGAATTCTGAAATCCTTTGAAAAATATACTTAAAAGCAACTTCCCTATTCAGGATTCATTTCTGGAGCCTTGCTTCTTCTTTTATATTAGGAAGAAAAATGTCCAGAACACGACCAAACAGCCAGAAAAACCTACAACAACCATCAGATCCCGGCCATGAAAGCCTTCGAGAATACATTAAAAGCTTCTCATTAGAGGGCTCTGTTGAGACAATGAACCTTATAGGAAGTGCCATAGTGCTAAACACTGTCTCTTTGAACAAACCATGGAACAAAATAAACTAAACCTTTGGGAGAAACAAAAGCTAAGGTAAGGCATGGGAAAGAAGCTCTGAACCTACTAGATCCAGCCTTGGACAGTATGGATTTCAAGAAAAAATGGTAATGAAACCAACACTGCACAAACCATACATTTTGTAGAAACATATGCTACATCTGGATAAGCTGTAAGTCTGCTGAGTAGAATTCACTGGAAATTCTAAAGCTGACATATATACAGCACATACCTGTATTTCTGTTTGTAGAAACATATGCTACATCTGGATAAACTGTAAGTCTGCTGAGTAAAATTCACTGGAAATTCTAAAGGTGACATATATACATACCTGTATTTTTACCCTATAGATCAGTGGTCCCCAACCTTGGGTCTCCAGATGTTCTTGGACTTCAAATCCCAGAAATCCTGGCAAGCAGAAGTGGTGGTGAAGGCTTCTGGGAGTTGTAGTCCAAGAACATCTGGAGGCCCAAGGTTGGGGACCACTGCTATAGATATATCCGTAACACTCAGGTTTTACATTTTGAAATCTTATAAAAAAACCCCCAAACCCTCCTATTTCTCCGGAAATGCCCTTGAGTATATATGTGTAACCGTGTAATGAAGAAGTAAAATTCATGGGATCTGTGTTTGGAAACTGTCAAGGAGCTAAGGGTTCTACTACAATGACTCAGATTAGATTAGACCTGAAGACAAGGCTTCACAATGTAATATTGAGAGTCTCCAATGTGAGGCTACATTTCAGCTCATACTATGCAAATAAAATAAAATAAAACAAAGCTAATTATATTTCTTTAAAAGAAACATGGAAAACAACACGCTGCGGAAATAGAATTAAGTTGTGAAATTATATACCAAAGTCTTTAATATGTGTTTTGTTTCACCTTCCTTCTAAATTAATATAAATGTTAAAATATGTGTGCTCCTGTGTATGTATATTCCATATACATTTAGACCAATCTTCCAGAATTAGCAATGGACTCCTGACTATCTGGCATAGATTCTTAGGATAATATTTGTTTTGACACAAGTATTCCAGTAACAAAGACACAGAAGGAGTGAAAAAAGCTCATTATAAGGGCAAGAAAAGTAGGGAGTTTGAGTGGGAAGAAAGAATAGCAAAGGCGAAGAGAAACAAAATCTGGAAACGATTTTAATATATTTCTTTAAGTGCAAAACACACTCATCCTCTGTTTTTCTAAGGCTTAAGTGTAAGGTAGTTCCAAATGGCGCAGTCCAAAACTCTCACCAGACAACTAGATGTTTTTACTGGCTTTCCATAATTAACATTATAGAAAGGTAATTTAGGTTATGGTGATATGGAACAGACACAGGAAATTGCCATAAATCCTTACATTTAAAAGTATGTTTTAACATTTTATTCTAAGCAGCTGCTTAAAGGTTTAAGAATATCAGGAAAAAATTAACAGAAAAGTGAGACAAAGGACAAAACATGACTACATGCTTCAGTATGATTAATGAGAATGACAGCATAACTAATTAACAGACTGAAGTTAGCTATGGTCTGGATTCTTTTACCTTTGGGCCGGGTAGTCCATGAGGTCCCTAAAAATGAAAATTCCATCATTACAGGAGGCATTTTTAGAGCAGAATGTGCTCTCTGCTAATAGTAGCCAGTTTTTGCTTTTTATTGGCTGCCCAAATGCTGAATTACCTGGTAAATATAATCTACACAAGGAAAACAGAATGAAATGGAATGGAACTCAACATCAACTTTCAACTCCAATCTTCTTTTTAAAGATTCCCAGAAGACGTGGAAAAATGTGAGGCTGAAACAGAATCAACATCTAAAATGGCTGTTTCTACATGTGTTTATCAAGATTTACTGAAATTTATATGGCCAAAGGCTAACCCTACGCCACAGTTTAATGAGATAAATTTTATTTTACAAGAGTAAATGTGTGTCTTATTTCATCAAACACACTTGGTGTTCCTTATTCTTGCCTCTTTCCAATTGCTGCTGTGCTCTCAGCTTCTTCATGTTTTCTTTCCTAAATTATAAATATTTGGCCCAATTCCAACTGTAAGTCATACCCAGAAAGACCAAGGAATCTGTGGGATTTATTGACTCAAATCTTTGTTGAAATCTTATTTGCAACCTTGCACACTATCTGTGATTTGTTTGACTATGAGGGACTTTTATGGGCTGGGCTGATTGTTTCTCCAGCACTAACGAATCATTCCTTCCAGTCTCTGAATTCAAAGAGAGTCCTCCCTCTCTGCTAAGTAGTTTCTCACCCTCTCTGTTGGTGGCAGTTGTTTGCTGTTGATCAGTTCAGTTGCTTGTCAGTATATGTGCAATAAAGAAAACAGCATGCACAAAAATTGTAATTTCCAGCAACTGCAAGTGAATAGATGTTTTTATTCTGTCTCCTAAATTACTGAGATTTTAAGTGCCAAATAATGAGAAAAACCAACTGGGATTTGAGACATAGGTCTAGGTCAAGGTGGGACTAAAAACTGCACTTAGGTCTTTAGGATCTATGGTTGAATCATGTCACTACCATTCACATACTGCTTGATTTACAACAACAGATAAATGGGTACAGCACTTACCATAGGTCCTGGAGGACCATGTGGGCCTGGAGGTCCTGGTGGTCCTATGATCTGCACATGGAATCAATATAATTAGTTCACACAAATAGATATTCATTTGTCTTTTGGAAAGCATCATTCATTTTCATTCATTTGAAAACTATAATCCTTTAAGTCTGAGATACTACGAACATATCCCAAGGTTACAGATAGGAATGGTTCTCCTCCTCCAAAGTCTTCAAAAATGTTTATGATGTTCTGAACTCATAAGGAGAGATCTGATATTGGATCCTTTCCTTATAAACCTCTCCACCACTATAGTGGTTTATGTGGTGGCTCTTACCACCAAGGACAGAACCCCAATCTTGAAGAGAGACAAAAGGGGTGTGTGTGGAGAAATGAAAGGAATTGGATCTGCTAGGCCCACAGAATGAAAGTGACTAACATTCTGCAACAGTGACAGAAAATTAAGGAATGTATAACTCAGTTGTCTTTCATTGATTGGTTGCAATGTGAGGGGTCAAAAGAAAATAAATCCAACCCCGATAGAGAGAAGAACAAGTCAAAAAATGAACAAAAGCATGCCAAGGCTCCAGATGAAACATAGACTCCAAGTTAGGAGCACACAATCTGTCCAGCTATTTGCCCCGCAGATGGCTCACTAAATGTAAAGAATGGATACCTCATCTGTCAGAGCATTTAGTGCACAATGGGTATTATCCATATATAAATAAATATTAACCAAGAGCAGGCTTTCTGGTTCAAGAGATGAGATATCTGCATGTGAGTTTAGGTGCTATCCTATTCATAGGATAACTTCTACTAGTACTCGAAATACTGAGCTTGCTGTCATCCACACTAGCAAAGCATTGACAAACATATTTGAAGGATTCCCCATTAACATTTATATAAAAGGCAACAAAGGACTGGAAGACTAATTGACTATATTGACTGAAGTAGTGAAACAGTATGGCAAGACTTACAGAGGGACCTTGAGGACCGGGCAAGCCAACATCTCCTTTTTCTCCTTTCATGCCGCTGGATCCCTACAAAATCATTATTGAGTATCTGAAAAATACTTTTATCTTATCAACACATGAATGTCCTACGAACCTGGAACCACCTTAGCTGTTCAAGCAAAGTTTCACTCTTAGTAGATTCACATTTGTAGAGACGCCTACAACTTGTGGCCTTTGGACTGCTTCGTAGCAAACGTGCAGGCTCTCTTTCTACCAGAGGCTGGAAAAATTACTTTTTTTGGATTTTACCTCCCAGAATCTCTTAGCTAGCATGGCCACTATCCATGCTATTTGGAAGATTCTGGGAACTTTAGTCTGAAGTGTAATGGTTCCAAGTTCTGGACATCACATTCTCGACTAGAAAATAACTTCTCTCAGAAATTATGTGTATCTTGAAGAACTACAGGGTGTCCAAATTTGAACTGACTAATTAAAGTGTGTGGAGCAATACTAGCTGTAGCTATTTCCAAACACAGCATCATATGTACGCAAAAACTGATGAACAAGTCTGCTCAATACTATTCATGGCCAGCAGAATCCAATATTCATCTGTTCTTGGTTTCTGTACTCTGTGAGATCCCAAAAGAGGCTACTGATATAGAGCAGATTTTTCACAGATACAGTGTCCCTGCTGTGCACTGAACATTACTGTAAGATCAAAATGAACGGCCAATAACCAATTATATGTCACACAAATATTATTATTTATTTATTTATTTATTATTTATTTAATTTATATGCCGCCCACACTACCCAAAGGTCTCTAGGTATTCTGACAAATATGTCAGAATAAAGGCAGAGATTTCTGATAGCATGGTTTGCGAAGCATTTTCTCCTCAAAATTTAATAACTGCACCCAGTGTTTAAGGATATAGGTACTGGATCACTTTAAATATTTTGTGGTGCCATCAGAGTCTTTTAAGGGAGCTCAAAACAAAAGTACAGTACTAAGCCCAATAGCAAGTGAGTTGTTCTTTAAATTAATATGTTTGAAAGCAATCTGAATAAATTGATACTTTTAAGAAGGAATCTTTGGTGTGTTCCCCCAAAAATTGTCTCTTCCAATTCTCTCCAACAAAACTGTTGGCTGTTTGTAGAGTAAAAAGAAGCCATGGATAGATAATAAGGCAGGTTTTCTTCCTGTTCATGTTCTATTATAACAGCGCAGCGATGTTTTCGCATAGCGAAGGTTAATCCAGAACGGATTAACCTCGCTATGCGGGGCACCACTGTATATGTCACACAAATATGTCAGCATAAAGGCAGAGATTTCTGATAGCATGGTTTGCGAAGCATTTTCTCCTCAAAATTTAATAACTGCACCCAGTGTTTAAGGATATAGGTACTGGATCACTTTAAATATTTTGTGGTGCCATCAGAGTCTTTTAAGGGAGCTCAAAACAAAAGTACAGTACTAAGCCCAATAGCAAGTGAGTTGTTCTTTAAATTAATATGTTTGAAAGCAATCTGAATAAATTGATACTTTTAAGAAGGAATCTTTGGTGTGTTCCCCCAAAAATTGTCTCTTCCAATTCTCTCCAACAAAACTGTTGGCTGTTTGTAGAGTAAAAAGAAGCCATGGATAGATAATAAGGCAGGTTTTCTTCCTGTTCATGTTCTATTATAATTAATTTTTTTTTTTTGACTAACTCTTAGTCTTGCAAAACTTCATCCACAGCCCTCTGTCTGGTCATTCTTGTATGACTCAGTGGGTAAATTTAAGGTTCATCTCTGCTTAAAGGCTACTCTTCTTGCTACTGAAATGTGCATAACGATAATAAGGGAAAGGGTCAATATTTGGTTTTATGGCTGGGCAACTTTTAATTTTTGATTAGATGCCTTATTTTTGCTGCTGTATCGATTATTTTTCTGTATTTTTCTTTTGTTAAGTCCAAACATGAAATATTTGTAGATCCTTAATGTATATTTATTAATGTGAGAAGTTTTCACTAGTCTATTTTTATGGCTGTTTAAATAATGTTATTGATGTAACCATTACAGAATTATCTGGAAATGCTACAATATCTAATTCTTTTTTTTACCCCCAGATGTCCTTTAAACCACTCCAAGCATGGCTTTACCATAAAAAATGGCATATATATAAATTGATGATGATTATGTCATATATGAGCCAGGGATATGGTGGTGCTGCGGGTTAAACCGCAGAAGGCTCTGTGCTGCAAGGGCAGAAGACCTGCACTCATAAGATCGAATCCACGCAACAGAGTAAGCTCCTGTCGCTTGTCCCAGCTCCTGCAAACCTAGCGGTTTGAAAGCATGCAAAACGCAAAAATGCGAGTAGATAAATAGGTATCACCACAGTAGGAAGGTAACGGCGTTCCATGTCTAGTCGCGCTGGCCACGTGACCATGGATGACTGTATGCAGACAAATGCTAGTTCTATGGGTTGGAAACGGGAATGAGCACCGCCCCCTAGAGTCGGACACGACTTGACAAATAGTCAAGTGGAACCTTTGCCTTTACCTATGTCATATATGACTAGAAACCCCTTTTGATTCCTTGTTACCTCTCTCTTCCAACCTTTCATCACAAACCTTCCTTTTAGTATATTCCTTGATTCTTATTGCCTTGCAGTGAAATCTATCACTGGAGGAAATTCTGTGGATTAAGGTATTAAATTGCACTAGAGTAGGCCCAGTGAATCAGTGGGGATTTGGTGAGTACACATCTCTATAGTTTCCATTGATTCAAATGAGACTATTCTAATTGTGACTTGCTACACTATGCTGACCACCGAAGAATTGATGCTTTTGAACTGTGGTGCTGGAGGAGACTCTTGAGAGTCCCCTGGACTGCAAGGAGATCAAACCTATCCATTCTGAAGGAAATCAACCCTGAGTGCTCACTGGAAGAACAGATCCTGAAGCTGAAGCCCAAATACTTTGGCCATCTCATGAGAAGACTCCCTGGAAACGACCCTGATGTTCGGAAAGAGTGAAGGCAAGAGGAGAAGGGGACCACAGAGGATGAGATGGCTGGATAGTGTCATTGAAACTACCAACATGAATTTGACCAAACTCCGGGAGGCAGTTGAAGATAGGAGGGCCTGTCGTGCTGTGGTCCATGGGGTCACGAAGAGTCAGACATGACATAACGACTAAACAACAACAACATTATGCAACAGGATCTCAGCCAGCATGTCACTAGAAGTGCTCCCATTCCTTCTCTTTGCTACCCTGCCATTTACCTGTCTGTCTGTCCATCTATTTATGTTTTAAGTCTACCTTTCAGAGTGGGTTGCCCTCACAAGAGGGCTTAGGGAATTTCCAAAACTTGAACTCAAGTCACAATTAATTATAATTAATATTTTTAATATACAGAAGTTTGGAATATAATTATTAATGATAAATTAATGTGTAACATTAAACTAAAGAACTGTGAGATAAATAAGGTATTTGGGGAGATTTTGTCGATATTTGGGGAGATTTTATTGACTTTGTTTTAATTAAGGAGAAGGACTGTGTGCCTTCGCAAGAATCAGTGCAATTCTGGAAGGGGAATAGGGCTCTGTAAATGGAGGAAGTTTAGTTATATCTCCAGATGTTCCCAGTGGAGGGGAGCATATTAAGTACTAATGTTTTTTCTGTGTGGGTTTGTGTTAAGATTTTCTTTTGTTATGTTCTCTTTGTTGTTTTTTTTCTATATATTTTTAAACTTTTATAAATAAATAAATAAATAAAATAATGAGTTGTATTTTCTTTGTTTCTGTCAAATTCTAGAAGACTGTCAGTTGCTTGAAGTAGCTTTTTCATTATCTTACTTCTTCAATAAAAGAATCATAAATGCTGATGGTGCTAAAAATTTTTGTTAATACCTAGCTTTAAGAATTAGTAGACAGTGAAGTGAGCACTAAAAATGCAATTTACTACCAAGGATATTCTAAAGCAAACTTACTGGCAATCCTGGGAGTCCAATTCCTCCTTTTTCTCCTGGTATTCCAGAGTCACCCACATCACCCTTTGAACCTTTAAGGCCCTGAAAATGAGACCTATATTATTGGGAGTATGTGACATCAACTCTTGAGCAGAATCACAGACTATGTCTAGGAACACCTTTGTGCTAAAGAGAGTCTCTAACATATTTATTTATTTATTATTCTCAATAATGAATAAAATAAAATATCTTTTGTTCCTTAATTGTAATCTTTTAAAAGAAAAGAAAAGAATCCTGCAGCAACAGTCATTATTCTGTTTATTTCTGTACAGTACTTATCCAAGTCCGTCTATCTCTGTATATCTTTGGTGAGTCATCTCAGTAGAGTGGAGAGCTATTTTTCAGATTTGCTAGCACCGTAAGAACTGCACTCTCTTTTGGGAAACTTGAAAAACTAAGAGGATAAAGGGGGAGGGCCCGGCCAAAAATGCGAACGTGCATTTGTAATAATTGTCGTTGTTACTCTAAAAGCTGCTACAACAGCTTCTTTTAAAACTGACATTTTGATTTAACTAAAAAGATGGATTTTTTTTTTCATTGAAAAAGTCTTACAGGCCCAAATTATTAAACATTCTTGGGGAATACAAGAATATTTTGCTGTAATTTGTGGAATACAAGGCCACTCACAAAATACAGCAAAACTGTTCCACACCTCCTAGAGGGCACATGGGAGTTTTCTTAAAAAAAACATGTGTTTTTTTTAATGTAAATTTCAGGGTGTGTGATAAAGCTGGAGGGCCAGGGGTGCTGGGGGATCAAATGTGATGTGTGAGCTCCATTATTGCTCATCCTTGCTACAATCTTTTTACTGAGCGATCAACTGCCATATCAGGTTCTGACTGCCGTAAGCCGAAGAAATCTTAGGTTACCTGCTCCCCATCAGCACCTGGTAGTCCAGGAGATCCAGGTTCACCCTACAAAGAGAAATCAAATTGCATTAGTTTCACTATATTGCTATTACTTGGATACAGCATAATTTAATGTTATGTGAACATAAGACTGCTTGAGCCTTGATTTCATATATCTTCTCCTCCTACTTTATTAGAATAACTGCCAGTGGGAGATCAGAAGTATTAATTCTGCTTCCAAAGCTGAATTGAAGCAATCTGGCTTTGCTGCAGGTTTGACTCACAACCTGTATTAGGTTTGAAGTTGCGTTCAGTGCTCAAACATGCGCTGTGGATTGATTCAGGAGTTCACAATTTGAGCAATACAATTCACGTTCTAGCCCACCACCCCCTTTTTTCCTTCCTTCCTCTGGTCCCGTCTGACAAAGTGATGGTGGGGGCGTAGATGCAGGAAATAATAATGAGGACCTAGCAGTAAGGTAATAGATTGATACCAATCTCATGTATGTAAGAAATTTAAATGTTTATTAAATTTTTAATTGGAGGACGATCTGAGGAAAGCAAAGAATGCAGGAGTGTGTGCCCTTAGTCCCAACTGCTTGCATCGCCAAAACATAACTTACAGACTGTGACATTCACCTCTATGAAGCACCAACTTTTTGTGCCCTCACAAAGATTCTAGTCTTTTTTCCCCTCATTGCCACAAGTAGATAACCTCTATCCACACTATAAAAGACATTTGTCCAAACACTTGTCTGGTAAATGCAAACAGAACTTACCGTATATGCCGCCATACAAGGCGACGGGCCGTATTAGACGACACCCCCCCAAAATGCGGCGCTGGGAAGAGGCTTGGGGGGGGCAGTGGCAAGAGGAGGAGGCAGAAGAGGGAAAGTGGGGGGAGGACGCTCGAGCGCGCGGCTTCCCTCCCTTTGCCTGCCTGCCTCATCGCTTGCGTTCCTCCCCGGAGGCGTCAGAAGAAGGACGAGGAAAAAGAGAGAAAGCAGAAGAGGAGGAGGAGGAAGAGGGAAAGTGGGGGGGGAGGATGCGTGAGTGCGCAGCTTCCCTCCCTTCGCCTGCCTGCCTCGCCGCTTGCATTCCTCCCCGGCCAGCACGGCCCTGCACCACTCGGCGGCGGCGGCGGCAGCTCCTTCCTGGCACCCGGCGTACAAGACGGGGCCCCCACTTGGAGACATGTTTTGGGGGCCCCAAAACTTGTCTTGTACGTCGGCATATACGGTATTTATTAAAGTGTAGCAAAGTTAATAATAATCACAGATGTTTTTCCGTTGTTCATTGTACACAATCAAATCATTCACATACATACTTTTTCTTGCCATATAATTAATTACCACCTTCTCGATCTATTTATCTTAACCAGCTTAGCTCTATTAATATCTGTTCCTTCCCTCTGACTCACTGACTCTGACTCTAGAAGAGGGAAAGTGGGGGGGAGGACACGCAAGCGCGCGGCTTCCCTCCCCACTCCTGCCTGACTCTTGACTGACTGCTCCGGCTTCCCTCCCTTTGCCTGCCTGCCTCATCGCTTGCGTTCCTCCCCGGAGGCGTCAGAAGAAGGACGAGGAAAAAGAGAGAAAGCAGAAGAGGAGGAGGAGGAAGAGGGAAAGTGGGGGGGGAGGATGCGTGAGTGCGCAGCTTCCCTCCCTTCGCCTGCCTGCCTCGCCGCTTGCATTCCTCCCCGGCCAGCACGGCCCTGCACCACTCGGCGGCGGCGGCGGCAGCTCCTTCCTGGCACCCGGCGTACAAGACGGGGCCCCCACTTGGAGACATGTTTTGGGGGCCCCAAAACTTGTCTTGTACGTCGGCATATACGGTATTTATTAAAGTGTAGCAAAGTTAATAATAATCACAGATGTTTTTCCGTTGTTCATTGTACACAATCAAATCATTCACATACATACTTTTTCTTGCCATATAATTAATTACCACCTTCTCGATCTATTTATCTTAACCAGCTTAGCTCTATTAATATCTGTTCCTTCCCTCTGACTCACTGACTCTGACTCTCTCTCACTGACTCACTCCTGCCTGACTCTTGACTGACTAACTCCTCCTCTCAGGCTCCACCTTTTTAACCTCTCTCTTGGCTCCGCCTCTCCACCACATTAGCATAGACATGGATAATACATGACTTATTTTGCATAACAAGGGATGAACGCTACACAGACATGACCCCATCTTTGCAAGACTGTATCACAACTAACCACATGGGGAAAAGCCATTCAAATCATTCTGGCTTGAAAAAGTAAAAGCCCATTCCCCCCCCCCTCAGTGGCAGAGGGAAAAAAGCCACTTTGGGAACAAAAAGGACTAGACCAATTCAAAGGAGCCTTTGTGTCATGCAGTCAGTTAAAAAAACCCTTCAAATTCACCTGCTGTACACAGGACCAAATCCCGTGGTATTTTACCACAGACTTTGAATGGATTAGTTTCACGTGTGTTTCAACAAGCCGGGATCAGAAACCATGGTTGGATCCAGACTTGTTTCAACAAGCCACAATTAATTAACTAAACTCGCACCGGATAAAACAGGCTACAATCCATAAAAGCTTATACCAAATGAAACATATTAGTTCTCAACATGCCACCAAATTCATTGCTAGTTTTGATAGATGCAATCTGTTCTTTTTGGACACAAAGTTATACTGTTGTAGAGGATGTCATTTTCTAATCTCTTTATGGCTGGCGGGAGGAGCTAGTTGAGAGGAAGACCTTGTCTTGGGCAAAGTTACTAACATAGTAAATGTCTAGCATTAAATCCAAATTGGGTAACTGTGACTCAATAGTTTATAATCCCATGTCTCAGGAAGATACAACCTAGCGCCCAACGGCACCATCAAATACTTTGGGATTATAAAATAGATGGATTCAAATCAATTTTTCCTGTCCACATGATGCAAAGGCTACAATGAATCTGTCCAGCCCTTTTGGCTTGCAAACTGTTTCTCTCCCCCCTCTCCTTTTTTCTTGCCGGCACGATTCAGAAGGGACTTTTCCCATGCGGATAGAAGGGTGGCTTGTCCGTGGAGGCTGAGGGGGAAAGAGCAGCAGCAGAAGCACCAGCTGGGAGCAAAGACAGCAGGAAGTGGTTTGTATGTGAGAGAGGGGGGAAATGTGGGCAAAAAGGTGGGCGAGAGAGCATGCACATACGTGCACACATACACAATTAATGCCAGTACTTACCTCTCTACAAAGTGTCTGTTCCCCTAAGCCGCCACTTATTTTTTTAAGAGCACCTCCAATCTCCATGGTCATGTTGAGTGTGTGTGCGTCTGTGTGTGTGTGTGTTTAGGCATATATATAAAACAGCCTAAAAACTCTGATGCCAGCAAGATACAATATGGAAGTGACTAGGGAGAAAGCATTCTTAAGGCAATTCCTTTGAACTCTGCCACCTACTCTGTAAGTAAAAGGCTTTCCCCCCTCTGCTTCTATGGCCACGTCTATCAGAGAGAACCAGATCCATTGCAACTTTACAGAGTGAGAAGGTGAGTTAATTTGAATTTCCCTTGCTGTATAGTCACAGCCCTAGTAAAATAAAAGACTGCAAAAGCCAAATGCATTTCATAGTGCAGAGGAAACACAAGAAAGATGCTAAGAACCTTATGCTGAATCCTCAACTCTTTCCCCTGTGCTATGTACTTAAATATAAAAAAATTTTGTGAAATTTCTTACTGTGTAATCAAACAATTTGTTGAAAAATTCCTGTGGATTATCTATCCCAATTTTCTATTGGTGGCTTATGAAAATGCTAGTACCAATTGTAAGAACACAATGGCAGGCATTTCATATATGTATAAAATTGCCTTCTTGCTCTTTATACATTTAAGAATATTATGTGCAAGTTAACAAAAAAATCCAGTATTTCCAGTCAAAGGAGTAGAATGTGAAAGTTTACCTTTATCCCCTGCAATCCTTGTGGTCCAGGTGGCCCTGGAGGACCCTAAAGGAAGGAAGGAAGGAAGGAAGGAAGGAAATAAATAAATAAATAAACAATTAAATAAACATCCACTACTTTGTCTAGTTCCATTTACAGGTAATAAATTTTCTACGTGCACACACAACACACACACACATCTTTGTTAATAGCAAACCCTCATGACGAAGAACATTGTATTAAAATAGCAACAACCAAATACCATTATGACAGTCAATGACAGACAGTATGATAATAACTTACAATTAAACTTAAGGATGCCATTACTAAAGAAATGGAAAAAAACTATAATAAAATGACTTTCTAATGACTTTCTAACTTCTAAGTGACATTCTAGTGGCATTCTAAGTACTGAGTAACAAAATTTATAGAATTTTTGTTTGTAGAACAACAAACAAAACAGACATCTGTGTTGACTTCAGTTCAAGAGTGAATTAAGTTGACCACGAAGCATCAACTATTGTAAATTGCTCTACAGTTAGGTCCTCTACCCCAAAGTAGCCTGCTTTTGTTTCTACTTTTTGCAACTGCTGAGAGCACAAGAGGATGTGTATCTGGGAATCCTAGTTGTATTAATGGCATATCCCACACCACGGTATTCTATGAACCGAGATAAACAAATGCAGGTCAGGCCTAAATTTGAGTACAACATAACTCACATTTAAAAGGCATTGATTTCCAAGATTTCCACTGTCTTCTTTCTACCTATCATTCCAAACTATTTTTGAATCTTAAAGAAACTCAACAGCTCATAACAATGGACCACACTGTATCAAACAGTTATGGTTACTAACTTTGGATCCAGGTTTTCTTGAATACTCACATTAAATCCCATGCCACAGAGGGAACTGAGGGTTGAGGTGAAATACTGTAATCAAGTAGAGTTAACCAAGTCTGCCTCGCTATAACATCTCATTCTGCCTTGATACGCTGTAGAGTACTAAGCTTGACTCTGCTTCCTGGGAAAATGCAGAGAAGCAAGAAAGCTCCAAAAAGATCACCCCAAAGGTTGGTTTGTGTATATTCTCACTTTTGTTGCGTTCTAAAGCACACTCTTAAATACGTATTGTAAAATTCCAAGCATTGAAATTGGCAATATACCCTTGTAAATCACTGATGCAGCAGGACATTTTCTGCAGATTTGTGCAAAGGCAAAGGAAATGTAAAAATGCACACACAGATACACCTCCTCCCTTGTATGTGTGATTTGGAGGTCACTTACAATGAAAGGCAGAAAGGTCAAAAACAGAAAGACAAACTGTGGCAGCGCATGGATGGAAATGACTCTAGTAGAGCAAATTACAATCCATTTTTCAACTCGGCTGAGTTTTAACACAGTACAAAAACATATGGTGGTTCCTGCAAGAACCGAGTCCTGGTTTCAGTACAGATTCATGAACATAGGTGATATTTTAAACTGAATTAATCACTAAGCTAATTGGTTGAGCTCAGAGGAGCCTACTGATTTGCAGTGGCTTTCTGAGATATTGAAACAGGGATCTTACCTAGCATTGCTATTTGAGAAGTACAGGGGATGCCAAGGACTGACCCTGAAAACATTCTACAGACAACACATGTGCTCTCATTCTGAACTACAACACTTCCCACAGCTTAACAGTAATCTACAATAACTTAACACTGACTTAGCACAGACGCTTAGTACAGACTCTTCTTATGACATAGTGCAGACAAGCACTTAGCCTCCTTATGGGTGTGGAATACAGATGTGTTACTTTAACTTTTTGGTTTTCTGCAACACATGTTTTACATGCTGCAGTTTACTATGCACAGCAGGACTATTAGCAAAACAAATCTACTGATATTAAAGCATCTGTACAGATGTCAAGAGAGGACTTACAGAAACACTAGAGATAGCTAATTACCTTACAAGAAGCACAAAGAATTCACAAGCATTAAATATCTGTATTTCCTAAAAAATGTCACTGCAAGTATATGGTTCAGTTCCAGCTCATCATGCTTCCACTGATGATTAATGGAAGCTGAAGGCAGAAAAGACCATGTTCATCATGAACGTTCAGAATGTGAGATGCAGGAAAGTTTTCAAGTTGCTCAACTGAAATTTCTTTTAATTATCACATCTGGAATTATTACATTTTCTCTTCCTGTCCTCCCCAATACTGACTCTGAAAAAAATAAAGCTTTAAGGAAATCTCCTTGTACTACAAATAAGTGAGAGAGTAAATGCACTGATAAACATTTATAACAATCCTAGCAAAAAGCATCGAACAAAGCTAATGAGTTCTTTTTTTTTTCCTACTAAAATGAATGTGAGACTTGCTATTGATTTCAGAAGGAGGAGAGCTACAGCCCTGGTTTTCAACAAAGCATCTCTTTGATAGAGAAATAAATGTAGTGACAAACAGGGTCAATATCCGAGGAACAAAGACATTCTAAATCAAAAGAGTTATGAACATGCAGAACACGACAGAAGAAAACTACTAGAAAGCACTATAAGTCATGCAATAGGAATTACCGTGACAGTTAGGGTGGTAATCCTCTGTTGGCAAAATATATTAACAGAAGACAATGTTACCAGATGTTCAGTTTGAAATAATATACTTTGCTTATTTAGTAATGGATTTTACAGAATTTAAGGGCAGCCGGAGAGAGGCATTTCACTGTCTCAAAGAAATAAAAGACTGTCTAAGCAGCAATCTTGCAACTTCGGAAAAAGTTAGATCTGTTCATCGGCCCAAAGTCCCAAAGGCACTTAAAATTTTTAAAGGGATATATTTGCACTGTAAATAAGTAGTTCCATATCCACAAACTAATTAAACCAGATAAGGTTAGAAGCCAATACGCTGTTAAAAGTATGAGTAGCCAACCCTAAATACTTTCTCGAATGGGCTGCGCAAGTTTTACCATTGCTAGAAAACAGACATTTCTTTAAACTTGATATTCTAGAACATTCTTCACATTTCTAAGGATTTCCTTCTCATGGTATCAGTACATCACCATGCACTTAAATATTACAGTCCTTATTGATCTCAGTACTACATCAGCAGTTTAAGACTCACAGTCCTCATCAAGTACAAGGCCTGCTCAAACATAATGTTCAACATTATGGATGAAAGCATATTACAGAGTGGTATCCAAAGTCTATGCCTGCCCCTCCAAAACAGAGAGCCAGAGTCATTCCTGAATGGTGCAAGCTGTGGTGTATATACCGTAGGTCTAAGAGAAATAGCAAGGTCCTCAAATTTGAGTTACAGTGTCTACTGCTATTGCCTCTGTCTAATGTTCAGATTTATCACTTTCCCTTCTTCCTCTTCCCACAGAACAGCTCTCCCACAGTTTAGGACAGCATTTGGACACTCTGTGAAACATTTGTGGAGACGGATAAGGAAAGTCACCTTCTGCCAGTATGATAATTGATATCTGCCAGACTTTCTGCCGGAAGTAAAGACTAACCATGGCCAAAATCCAGTTGCTTAGTGTAGTAAATTGCACTAAAGAAGCCCCATTGTACCAATAGGGATTTAGTGAATCAATTCAGTAAGTTCCATTGATTCAAATTAGCCTAACAGCAACTTATTTTATCATAACAAGTCAGTTAGAGTATGCTCATTTGAATCAATGGGATTTATGCAGGAGTCGACTCGCCAATTCCCCTTATATTCAGTGGGCTTACTCTAGTGTAATTTACTATGCTAAGCAAGAGGATTTTGTCCCATGGTCGAGAAGCAATGTGTTGCGTCTGGATTGTTTTTGTTTATTGCTGCAAGAAGGGAAGAATAATTAAAACAATATGCAGATTATGTACAAATGTATTACACATTTACAGAAATTACTTACATTTCTGTAAGACTTTCTGTAAGGTGAGTCTATTTCCACCTATTTCATTTGAAGTCAGGTTAAAGAATGAAGTGAACTAAATTTCCATTTTCCTTAATTCAATGAAAAATAACTGCACTGACTGAAGGCTTAGAATGGATAACAATCTTTACATAGCAGAACAAAAGAAACAGAAGAATTGGTAGTAAATGGATTAAATGTACATTTTGTAGAACTTAAACAAATCTTTGCTTTTTCCTGAGCATTAAACATTTGTCCACATAAAAAATGTTGCAGTGTTTCTGGATGACACTCAAGAGTTGCTTTTGGAAATGTGCAAAAGGAAAGGGATTTCAGAGCAGGATTTAAAAGTGTCCCTCTACATGCTCTTGTCAAAAACTGACATACACGAGAGATATTAAAAAATGTTTGCTCCATTTATGGAAATGGAGCATATGGTCTCATTTATTTTCGTTCCATTCTGCTGAGAGTTTTGCACTCATTGTTGTCACCAATGTGTTCTGCATTTTGTAATATTACAATAAATATCACAATGATTGCAATACAATGTTATTATAAAGAGATAAATATTACAATATTGTCACAACAATGTAAATACTGCATTGCTTTATAATGGCATCAGATATTTACCCCACATAACTTTACGGTACGTAGGTTTCATGCAGCAAACCCCTCATTATTATCATGGACTCTAATTCAGCAAAAATGAAAGCAAGAGACTGTTGTACATAGAGAAGCTTTTGCTTATTATGCTGAAAAACAGTCACATGGCTCATGTTTTGATAGCATGAAAATAAGATTGCAAAGGTGAGCTGAAAGTGATGCTGGGGAAAGACCTGGTACTTGGCAAAACTAACTAATGCTGTAATCCTATACCTATTTACATGGGAGTAAGCCCCACTGGACTCAGCAGGATTTACTGTTGACTGATAGATATGTGGTTGCGTTATAAGTACGTGGCCTTTCACACATATAATCTCTTTTGCAACGCACAAATAAAGTAGAGATGGACAACTTGTAGCCCTCTAGATGTTGCTGCACTTCAGCTTCCATCAGCCTTTGCCAGTGGTGAGGAATGTTAGGAACTGCAATCCAACAGAACCTGAAAGACCTCAAATTGCCTATGCTGGTCTTAAGGATCTTGTTGGCCTGGAACCACAGTCTCTATTTATGTTTATTTGTTTTTATTTTTGAGAAAAAGAGGCAATCTCTGCACTAAGGAGCCATACGAGTACTGCTCTTTTGGGCTTTTGTATCCTTTTTTAGCATTACATATTTGTGTGCTTCTGAGCAAAGATGTCTTACTCTCAAATAACCTGTGTAGCACAGTAGAAGGAATGACTCAGTGGAACTGCAAATCATCCAACAAAACTCTATCTCATTCTGTGGTTTAATGTCCCAAGGCTTCAAGCATATATCTAGGAGAACAGGCTTCTTGTGAGAAACAATGCCAATTTCTGTTTGAAACCACATTCCAGATCTTGAGAGGATCCAAACAACTGCCAAACACTGATTTTTCCCCTAACTTAGGTGTGAACTGATGTATCTCAGAACTTCTTTTACACAGTAAAACAGGAGATCATTGGCAATTGTTACTGTACAGCTGAAATACACCAACATTGTTGTTTGCTTTCTTTTTACTTACTGAAAAGACTAAGCAGCTTCTATAAGTACTTTTAGACCCATAGTCTGAGTAGAGAGATGCCCTAATCCTCCAGATTTTACTGAAACCACAAGCCACTTCTACTTTAAATATCTTCCAGCTTTTAGACTTAGTTGATTCATGGAAAGGGCAGAGTGGACACTTTAGGCAAGCCATAGGTATGAAGCAGCTGTTCAAGAGAATGTAGCACTATGGGGCGGTATATAAATCCAATAAATAAATAAATAAATAAATAGGTATGAAGCAGATGTTCAAGAGAGTATAGAGATTTCATTCACACCATGTAATCCACAGATTCTAATAGGTTTGACTGAAATCACTTTTTCCTCAATTCAGGTTACTGTATTCATGTGGAAATACCATGGTTCCCCACAGCTTAGAAGTAACTAGGTTTAAGTAACATAGTGAACCATAGGTAATTACTTTTGGTACAACAAGTAGTTACAAAGATACATTAAAAGTAACATATCAAGTAGCTACTAAATCGTTTTTTACAAGTGACAACTAATGTTTTCTTCTTGCCCTTAAAATATTTTTAAAGACATTTAAGGCATTTTAGAGGCATTCTGACAGGCATTTTTCAAGTTTTACATTACCTTCTAATAAATCTTAAGTTCCAAGGGAAGTAATTTTTGGTTTTGTCTTTTTGTAAATATTTGAAAGGTGCAACATAAGAATTGGCCCTTGGAAAGAACAAGAGAATATTCCCATGTATTTTTATGGCCTAATGGTAATGACAATGAACATGTTAATGTTCAACACAACAAACTTGTAGAACCAGAGCAATAATAACAATCACCTGTCTGCCAAGAAGTAATAAGTAATGCTACAGTATTTTTTTAAATACAAGTTTTGCTTCTTTCATATTTTATTTATTTATTTATTTATTGGATTTTTACCCCACCCCTCTAGAACATGTCTACTTGGGGCTCATATACCTCACTACTTGTAAGTAAATATATAAAAGTGACCAGGCTAATGTATCTATATGCAAGTAAATTCATTTATGAGCAATTGCGCCATTGTGTATCTGCCCTTTACTGGCTAAAACCCAGTACAGCGGTGCCTCGCATTACGATGTTAATTCGTTCCAGCGAAATCGCTGTAGAATGAAAACATCGTAAAGCGATTTTAGAAAGCCCATAGAAACGCATGAAAACCCGATTAATGCGTTCCTATGGGTTTGAAACTCACTGTCCAGCGAAGATCCTCCATAGCACAGCCATTTTCGCTGCCCATGCAGCGAGGAATCCATCCCAGAAAACAGTGGGCAGCCATTTTTTTACCCAGCAGCCATTTTGAAACCGCCGATCAGCTGTGCGAAAATCGTCGTTTTGCGATAATCGCGTAGTGAAGCAGGGAACCGATCATCGCAAAGAGAAAAAACCCCATAGGAAACATCGTTTTGCATAAGTTCCGATCATCGCAAAGCGAAAAAACCCCATAAGAAACATTGTTTTGCATAATTTCTATTGATTGGGTCTACTCGAGTTTTTAGCCACTGTATCTCTTATCCTGCAATACTCCTATCTTGATCTTTGCTTTGGGGAATTGTATACCACAATAAAAAAAGAAAGGCAAAATATTACAAAGGTTGTTATAAAAATACATTTATTTTCTAATTTGGCTCTTGGTTAATTCTCATTTTCAAAACATTCAGTCTCTTCATTGAGCTATACAGCTCCAGTGTTCAAGTAGTCAGTTTCTAAAGTTCAGGTAAGGCTTATTCCTTGGGGCCTACTCCCCAAAGTCTTCTCCAGATCTGCTGAGAAATGTATCTAGACTTTATGCATTCACTGCATATACTCTGTTCTTGATTTATGCTGACACCATACAAAAAAGCATGCTTACTCACTCAATTCCATCATTAAAGGCATATCAATATTATAGCTACTGTGTATATCTGCTGATCACATACCTGTAAAGCTTCGTGGATATTGCCATTGTAGTCTATAATTTCTGTGGCTCCTTGATCACCTTTTTGTCCAGGTGGTCCCTATAATATATTCACCCCACCCAAAGCCCCACAATTTTAGTGAATGAAAAATAAACTTTTAAAAATATAATAATAACTGGAACTAAAGAGCTGGAAGGAACACTATAGATTATGGAGTCTAACCCGTCAAGGAGACACAATGGGGAAATTAATTCCCAACCCTTGGCTCTTCAGCCACATACCCAAACCATTGAGTTGTCCCAGCACTTCTAATGACAAACTGTTCAAACCAATCTGAGGAATGTAATGCATCTGAGTTGCTAGTACAGCATGGTTCAATTCAGGTTATGATTCTGTTTCCTTATAGAACCAATAGCTAGAGTTTGAATTTGTATATGACAGCTACAGTATCTGCTTTGGTCTCCCTAAGTGGCCTTAGGCAGCCCAAGCAGATGTAGTCCCTTCATCTGTGAAGATAATGTAATTTAGTTTGTACATTATAAAAATACTTAGACAAGATAGTGCCTATGAACCATTCTGAATTTGGAAGTATAGCTTTGGAGCTCCAAGGGCCAAATTTAGTGCTGGGGGGGGGGAGTCTCAGAAGTTGTGTGCATGCATGTTAAAAACCTCTTTGGTAAAGCATATATGTATATACTGTATGTATTGACCAAACAGGTTTTTAACATGGAGATCCAGCACACACAAAAATGCAAAGGTGAGAGTCAGATTGTTTTGGAGTCACTAAATAGATGCTAATGGTAAAGATTCCCTGTGCCCCTGATGGGATTTTCATTTGTGGCACCTTGGCTTCACCCTCCTATCTCTCTCAGCATCCTTGTGGCATTGCTTCCTGGCACTGTATAATCACAGGGTGGGGAGGGATCCTCTCTGTATGCATGTATGAGGTACAGTGTGAGATATGAGAGTGTCTGCATGTAACAGAATGAATGAAAGGCTGCATATAAATATGTGTGTTATGTGTGAGAATATGTGCATTACATATGAGTAAGAATCAGTATGTGTTTTTGTATGTATATCTGGTATGTGGGGAAATGGACATGTAAGGAGTTAACATGTTAAGATGAGAGACAGTGTATGGGTGGTCCCACCAGCGTTTTGGTGTGTGGCAAAATCTACCTCTGGTAGTGTACCCCTGGAAGGTTTCTTGGAAGAAGACAGGGCCTATACAGATAATGGAGCTAAATTAACATAACTGTGCCCATGCATTTAGCAAGGAACGGCTGAAATCCTGTTGCAAAATTTACACCTGTGGAAGGGTGATAGCCTTAAATTTTTGGTAATTAAAAACTTCCCACTTCTGTTCCATGGCTTTCCAATTCCCTGTAATATCTTTCATTGCACGGAAACAGAGGGAACCAAGGGATTATTAAAAATCCCCAATGCTAGTGACATCATCTCTCTGCCGCAGTAGTTTACGCAACAGGATTTCAAGACAATTTGTGTAATCTTGTAATGTAAGCAAAAAGAAGGGCATCCAGTCTGGGCTTGGAAATGCTCAACAGGGCTCTTGTTCACTTAAGACTGATACCCAGAAAGACATACAATAACCCCAACTCACTTACCCGTGGGCCTGTTGCACCCAAGCCACCTTTGTCTCCAGATTCACCCTAGTAAAAAGCAACATTTGTCAGTAACTATGTCAAACTTCCACATTAAATGTTATTTAAAGGGGGGGAGAGAGAGAGAGAAAAGAAAAACAGAACCTTCAGACCTCTACATAAATATGGGCAGGTATATGACGGGGCCTTAGGAACTGTATATTGCAAAGTGGATGCATACACTGAGGCTTCCTTATCTCAATGGGGTCTGTTTCAGTTTCACCCACAACATTTCACTGCTTTGTAGTATAACTCCCAGAATCCATTTGCCATTTTGGTTTGAGGATTCTGGCAACTGTAGTCCAAAAAAAGTAATACTTGTAAGCTCTGCATGTGAGCAGATCGTGGTACTTTATCAACAAGGTTGTTTCATTGAGGTTAGCTTGGAGACAATATATATATATATATTGATTAAGTTATCAACAGAATGTCTGTATGAGCAGAAGAGTCCAGAAAACAAGCAGACTCCAGAGAGCTTTACAGAATCCTGAACTATGTGAGTCTATACGGGTAATCTGCCCGGCCTCATGACTCAGCCAAGCTGTTTCCAATGTCACTGATCGTAAATAATAAAGCACAACATGAAGATTTAGCAACCACTGCACAGGGAAATTAATCCATATCATGTCACCTCAGCTTCATATACCACATTTCAAGTTAATTGTTTTAGAAACAATTAACTTGAAATGTGTATATTCCAACATTTAAGATTTTTAAGACATTTAAGCTTGCAACATGTAAGCCTATTTCATAAAAGAATGTATTGCATATAAGGAAGATGGAAGAAGATTAAGGCAGAGTATGTGAAAGTCTGCCATGAACAATAGATGGGGAACAAGGTAACAAAAAATTTCTTTCTCTGACAGGAGGAAAGAAAACATTGGGATTTGCTTGGTAGAAATATTCTCCACAGGCAATGCATGTAATTGGAGAGCAGGAAAAAGGAAGGATACACACAAGAGAAAATGTGGGGGAGGAGAGCAGTCTCAAGATATTTTGCTGTCAGAGGCAAAGGACAAGAGGTTTTTCTCCCATTTTACATACCAAATGGTATCTAAATCTTAATTTCAGTATTGGTGATGGGCCAGTCCTCTTCACAAGGCTAGCTTAACAGATACCGAGCAAGTTGTATGGGACACAGAGTTCAGTCTTGTAAGCAGAGCTGGGAAACATTTTTAAAATATAATTATTATATATTAATCCCACGACCAACATGGTGAATCCCCCAGTCAGTAATGTTTTTAATAGTCCATAAACCAGGTGCTTCCCATCTCTATTTCCAAGCAGAAGTAACAGCTTGCTGATCATAGCTAATGCTACCTCCTTCTGCACCACCCAGGACTGGGCACCCCAAGGTCTGGCCCCATCTAATCAAAGGGCCGGCCCCAGGGAAGCCGGAAAGAGTTGGATGAAAGACAGAGAGAACTGAAAGAGTGGCAGAAAGAAACAGCCAGATGAGAGGAAAGCAGAAAAGATGGATGAGAAGCCAGCCAAAGTAGGAGACAGAAGAGCAAACAAGATATTCCCTAGATATTAGTGTGCAGATAGAGATCGAATTTTCCTTCCATTTATCACGGGTGGAGGAGGGGTGCTCTTATGAGGAATGAAGTATACTTGTGACAGTGAGTTATTTTTATTTAAGGGTCAAAGTACAAGCTATATTACATGTGTAGTGTGTAGCAAAATATTCCCTACTGACTATCTGCGTAGATGGACATTTTAAACTGCCCCCACATTTTTTGAACTTATCCCTCCAGCTTCCTGAGAGTTAAACAAGAAAAGAACACCCGTTGGAGCTACAAAATGGTTTTAGGAAAGGGAAATCACGGATATCTACATTAAAAAAAGAAAGTTCAGAATTTGCTAGGGAGTATGCTTGTTAAACATACCACTGAAATCACTGGTATGGGGCCACACACATCCATTCCTTGCCTTTAGAGGGCTGTCCCCAATAAAATTACAAAACAATGTGTGTTGGGGGGCCCTGGCTGAAGGGGGACCCTTAAACATTGCACACTTAATGAGAAAAAAGATTTCAATTTTTTTAAAAAAAATTGGGGGGAAGGCTGGGGGACCTAAGGGGTGTCAAACCCCTCTGAGGTTCACCTCCACCCCAAGAGATCAATCTACAGAGTTACTTGTAGGATACCATATGTCCTCAGAAATGTATTGTGACATGTTTCAAGACACCTTGGGGCAACATAAATTGCTTCTGTACACTAAACTGTGAGATTCGGAGTTCTACAGATCAACTAACACATGCATGACAGTATCATCTGCTCAAATGCACTGTGACATAACTTTCAGTCACTGCAACTTGAAGTATTCTTCCAAAGAGATTTTTGGATGTCAGGATGTGCAGTTTCACTGGTTCTGTCCCAGCAAAACATGGCACTGGGAGACTGCTGATCAGGCTGGTGGCATTTATAACAGGAAGTCCCTCAGAGTCCCAGCTTGTGCTCACTGTTTTCTAACATCTACTGGAAACCACTGAGGAAGATCATCTGGGAATTTCAGATATGATATCATGAGTAGATAGATAATAGCCAAGGGCATTTCTCTTTTTCAGGTGAGGCAATAGAAGCAATGAACTGCTGTCTGGAATTAGAGTAAGGGCTGGATAAGAGTGCATAAAATGAAACTGAATCTAGCATAATGAAGGAACTATGGGTATGTAGTTTGTTAAGTGAGATGTTATTCAGTCTGTATCAAGTAAGCAGAATGTCTGGTTCCCAATGTGTTTGTACAGCTAGATGCTGTTTTGCCACTACAGTCTCAAGCAAGTTCTCTAACCATCTAGGGTCATTCATGGGTTGTTGTATGAGCCAGGGACCATGGAACAAATCAGCAGTGAGTTCCATAAAACGATCCAGGAGGCACAACTGAAGAGTGAGTGAGTAAAAACCCAAGGCAATCCAGGAGGCAGAACCAAAGCACAAGGATAAACAAACATGCCAGAGGTCAATTAGATTCAGTTCCCTCAAGCAAGAATCAGCAGGAAAAGAAAGCAATTCATACAGTATGCCCTGAAGAAGCTAGTGGCCAACAAAGAGTTCATGCAGAAAAGTCATCACTGAGAAGCTGTAGTAATAAAACTGCTGTGCAGGGCAGTGGCCAGTGTAGGGTAGAATGCATTTTATTAATGCAATGAAGTGAAGTGAAGTGAATCAGGATAGGAAAAACCTGGCCATACTTTGGGAACATAAAGAGTCTTGTGGTGCAGTGGTTAAACTGCTGTACTGCAGCCAAAGCTGTGCTCACGACCTGCGGTTCAGTCCCAGGTAGCCGGCTCGAGGTCGACTCAGCCTTCTGTCCTTCCGAGGTTGGTAAAATGAGTACTCAGCTCACTGGTGTGTGGGGGGGGGGCAGGGAATGTGTAGTCTTCATAATTAAATTATAATCTATGCTGAATGTGTAGTCTTCATAATTAAATTGTAATCTATGCTCAGAGTGCTTTAAGAGCTATGGGACGGTATATACGTTGCACACTTTGCTTTTTTCTTTAACAACTATTACTATTATAATGTGCTGCTCATGAATTTAAAGCTGAAGATATCTCAGAAGCATCAGAGAGCAATCTAGCCATGGTGTTTTAGTTACAACTGTCATCACATTACGTCAGTGCTTTAAAAACTGCTCTACCATTTGGGCTATTTCCAAGGATACCTACCTTTGAAGACTACAGGGCTTGGTCCTCAGGCCCCTAATGGAGCATTTTAATATTTATTATCAGTTTTATTTATATGCCACCTTTCTCCCGATAAGGGAATTCAAGGCAGCTCCCAATATTAAAAGGAGTAGGGTTAAATACATAATGAATCAGAGATGAAAAACAAACTATATGCTTATTAAAATACATCTGAACAATTCAAAACAAATGAATTTTAAAAGCTATCTGACTCTAAGAAGACTTTCAGGGATTCAGAGTATTCCCTACATCAACTGCCTGTGCCTTGAAATGATCAGGGAGAGTGACTTTCTAGTAATGGTATCTTAGCACAGATGCTCATCTGGCACCTATTCTGTTATCTTTTTACGTACTTTTGTACTAATTCTAATGGCCAGAATCCAACAGAATATTCAATGCAGTAGTGTAATAGTGGCAAATAGCTGCTAATTAATGAATCCCTGATTGAATTCCTAGTCATATGCCAGTTGCATGCATCTGTGCAACTAGATATTTAACTGGGAATCACACTTACACTGGTTTGAATATTTAATTGGATTCTGGCCATTTTAATTTTATTTTAATATATTCTAATATAAATCACTTGAGTAACTGTTTCTTTAAAGAGCAACACACACAAATATAAAATAAACAGATGAAAACCCGTCACCACATCACATTAAACTAATAAAACTAAAATTTGCTTACTACTGACCTTCGACCCTTTTGGGCCTCTAGCTCCCGCTTCGCCTGACTTCCCCTGCATGATAGAACACATACAAGATGGAAAGTAGAAATGAGGACAGAAAAAGTAAAGAGTGGAGTCAAAGAAATTAGTATCATCTACCAGCAACTACAGATATAATGGAAAAACTTTATATTAAAATGATTACTACTGGAACTCAACACAAGAGAGAATGAGGGAAGTATAGGAACACCAAATGATTTAGTATTAATAGATACAAACTGCAATGACTTAGTTACTACAACAGCTTGAAAGGAAAAGTCACATTTCTGAAACATTTTAGTAAGTATTATTTAAGAAGAATAAAGGCTGCTCCTGTGAATGTTAATCATGGGCAGGATGAAATTCTTTATACTCTTTCCTGAATATTGTGAGTACCTCCCTCCTTCCCAGACATTGACTGATCAGATTTGGTATTACCATTTGTTGCTGTTTTAAAAAAATCAATCTGATCTTGGTGCACACATGAAACAGGAATTCATCTCTGGCTACCATCTCAAACTGCAACTAAAGATGCTTTCTGGTAGAACATGTGAATGAATTAATAAATGTAGAGGATCAGAAGAACTGGACAGACTCATTAACAGAACTGTGCAGAACTATAAAAAGCAAAGGATTGCATAAATCCAGTTAACTTGGATTAAAATGTAATCTAACAACTTAATGTCATTGTTTAGACCTGCTGCATCCAAAGTTAAAAGGGCATTGATGATATCTAACCTCAAATCACAGAAAGACAAGGAGGAGGAGGAGGAGGAGGAGGAGGAGAAAAATGAAGAGATAATATCTTATGGTGCGAAAAATACGGTAACTTGGATTAAAATGTAATCTAACAACTTAATGTCATTGTTTAGAGCTGCTGCATCCAAAGTTAAAAGGGCATTGATGATATCTAACCTCCAATCACAGAAAGACAAGGAGGAGGAGGAGGAGGAGGAGTAAGAGATAATGATTGCAAACTACTTCTCAGTTCTAATTATGTTGCTGTATAGCAGGAGTCCATATATAATGACGCCACACAAGGAGGAGGAGGAGGAGGAGGAGTAAGAGATAATGATTGCAAACTACTTCTCAGTTCTAATTATGTTGCTGTACAGCAGGAGGAGTCCATATATAATGAGGCCACATTTTTTTAGCCCTTCCTCCTTTGAAAATTCAAACAACCAACCACAGTATTACAGTGCAATCCACATTCAAAGGTATACTGGCTGTAGTGGGTTTGGAATAGGCAGAAGTCTCTTCTGCCAACACAACTGCCCTTGTGCCAGCACGACTCTCTTGTGCTGGTTGATCTCAGAATTATTTGCACAATTGGATCTGCCAGTCCAGATCCAGTTGTGCTGGCTGAGATCAGGTGGCTGAAGATCCCGAAAAAGAGAGGCAGAGAAAGCAATGGCTTGAGTTGTGCAAGATCTAAACTCCTCTCAGCCCAAACTCACAGCTACTGTATCTGCAAAGTTAGACCCAAGGCGGGACAGTCCTAGGAAATGTCTAACATCCCTAGGTAGAAGTTTGGATTCAGCCCCAGCCCCAGATGATCTAGCATTGGCCAAGCCAGCTTTCAGCCACCCTGACTGATTCCATTGTTCAATGGAAGAACAATGATGTCCAATTCTTGCTAGTACAGAATATCTGGCATCTGGCATACTACTACAAATGTATCTGCAGAAACTCTAAACACATACCAGATAATGAACCCAATGGCTGAAACCCTGTGGCTTTGTTATGCCAAAGGCATGAGGACCCACATTGCTGCCTTTGGGGGAGTCTCCATCATCTGCCGTCCCTCAGGCACTGAGTGAGAGACCGTGTGGCTGTGCTGCTGCAGGCTGTCAGCCTTCCTGGGGTTTGGCTTGGACTCCCTCGGCTTTGCAGGACTGGGCCCTCGTTGCTTCTGGCTGCCCCACCCCCTCCTCAACATCAGCCACCAGGATGGGGGGGAAGAAGGGGCTTTAGAAGGGGTTTTTATTGTGATTATGAATGGATCTGAGGGAACAGGAAGGGGGGAGGGCGTTGGAGGGGGCAGCCATTGAGGTGGTCCTGGGTAGGGGAAGCAATGGCGGTGGGGGTAGAACATCCCCACGTAGGAGAACAATGGCTGCCCCACCCCCTCCTCAACATCAGCCACCAGGATGGGGGGGAAGAAGGGGCTTTAGAAGGGGTTTTTATTGTGATTATGAATGGATCTGAGGGAACAGGAAGGGGGGAGGGCGTTGGAGGGGGCAGCCATTGAGGTGGTCCTGGGTAGGGGAAGCAATGGCGGTGGGGGTAGAACATCCCCACGTAGGAGAACAAAGGTTAGATATCTTACAACTATCCCCTCTTCTAGTCCTACCACCGCCAACCAGATGGTATCAGGTGACCATGTCAGCAAACCCTCGAGCCACACGGTGCTGTTGATGAACGCCAGGTCAGTAGAAAATAAGACTGCCCTCATCCATGATGTAATTCTGGATGAGGGGGCTGACCTGGCGTGCATTACTGAGACCTGAGTGGGAGAGGAAGGTGGTGTCCCCCTCTCCCAGCTGTGTCCGCCTGGGTACTCAGTCCAGCACCAGGGTCGCTCGGAGGGTCGGGGAGGGGGAGTTGCTATAGTCTATAAGAGTTCTATCTCCTTGACCAGGCTTCCTATCCCTTTGAGAAGAGGTCTTGAGGGCCTATATTGTGTGTTGGGCTTGCGAGACAGATTAGGGATTCTGTTGGTGTACCGCCCACCCTGCTGCGTACCAACAGTCTCCCTGCCTGAGCTGATGGAGGTAATCTTGGACGTGGTGTTGAGGACTCCCAGGCTGTTGGTGCTGGGGGACCTCAACATTCATGCCGAGGCTGCCTTGAATGGGGTGGCTCAGGACTCTATGGTCACCATGACAACCATGGGGCTGTCTCAATGTGTCATCCGTCCGACACATGAGAAGGGACATACTTTGGACCTGGTTTTCACAAGGGGACTGGAAGATGGTGGTTTGGATGTGGAGGGGCTGGTTGTGACCACTTTCTGGTCAAGTTTAATCTATTAGCCTCTTCAACTCTCTGCAAGGGTGTGGGGATCTATTAAGATGATCTGCTCTCGGGGACTAATGGATCCAGATGGTTTCCTGAATGCTCTGGGGGATTATCGGTATGATATGGTCGGTGTTCCTGTTGAAGCTCAGGTCACGCTACGGAAAAGGGAGATGACCTAGGCGGTTGACACGACTGCACCTAAGCGCCATCTCCCTGCACGCAGAGCCCAGACAGCTCCTTGGTATACATCTGAACTGCGGTCACTGAAGTGAGGCGGGAGACAGTTGGAGTGCAGGTGGAGGAAATTCCGCTGGGAGTCTGATCGAACATTATTGGGCCTATTTTTGGCAATATGGCTGAAGAAATGGCAATATTTCTCCAGCCATATTGCTTCCTCAGAATGTTGTCCAGCTGAGCTGTTTCGGGTGGTCTGGGATCTTCTTCAATGGGGAAATCCCGTTCATCAGTTTGCTGTTTGCCATTCATTTTGAGGAAAAATCACTCAGATTTGCAGTGAGTTGGACTCCACCATTACTGCAGAATCAGAGGATGTGTCCAGTGTGCCAGGTCAAATATTAATGGATGAGGTTCAGTTGTTGAGACCTGAGGATGTGGACATGGTGCTTGGATCTGCCTGTTCTACCACCACTCCACTTGACCCTTGCCCATCCTGGCTAATTGGAAGATCTGTCACAGGGGTTCGCACCTGGGTCCAGGAGGCCATGAATGCCTCTTTGAGAAAGGGAGTGGTCCCTACCACATTAAAAATCAGAAAATCAGAAGTCAATCTAAAGATTATATTCCCCCCCCCACCTTTTTCCTGAAACTGTAATAGCCAGCTCACTATTCTATACAGGCATGCTTGCAAATGTGCCCTGGATTTCCACAGGTCAATTACAAATAAGAAACTCTGTGAATAACTGCAGATTTAATTCTAGATTCCTCAGCGTACAGACTTAATTTATAACTGGACTGTGCCTCATAGTAGCTACCATAAATCTAAATCACTTATATACCCCACATCACACAGAAATTCATTTTTAGCCATTTGCTTTAATCTCCATGAGCAAAGGGTTTCTTTTGAAAAATAGTAACACAAATGCATGGTAAATATATTGAAAGTTAAACCAAACTGACCTTTGGCCCTGGAGCGCCAGGCTCACCTCGTTCACCTTTCCCAGGAGGTCCAGCTTCTCCTTTTTCACCCTGTCAAAAAGGACAACATGCAGAAACATTACCCAATACCAGCAACCTCTGGTACACTACTGAGCTGTTTTAGAAAAACTGAAGTATATCAACATAAAAACATATATCAAACTGAAAAATACTCAGCATAGTGACTAACTTTCTCTGGACAAATAAATTTTGCTTGAGAAATGGATGCTTTTGCTACTTCATCTGAATTTTCAGTGCTAAACAACCACAACATTCTATAGATTGACATAAGTATAAAATGCAGAAAAATGGAGAAAGAGATAAAGCTGTCAATTTTTTTGAAGTGTCATCACCTTGGTTTTGCCATATTTCTCCCAACATTTTTTTAAAAAATCAGTAGGGGTCCTATGTTTTTGATTATTTCTACTGTTTTCAAGTTAAGCAACTAGGGAGCTACGCAAAATTTGATACATTTGAAACTCATCAGTGGCTTGACTTTCATATTTTTGCTGTTTTGAAGGAGAAATGTACTTCCAGAAAAGTCTGGGCAAGTACTTCAGTTAAAAAATACGATGCATACTCCTCATGTACCTTGTTTTTAAACTTTAAGTAGTGGTTGTTTACTTCCACCACTAAAATATTGTGACTGATGTTAGAAATATATAGCCCAACATAGTCTAGAAGACCACTACACTATGGGAACCTTTTGTAACATCCATGTTATTTTAAAAAGCCCTGCACATCTGGGAAATTGCAAAGTCCTATTGATCAGAGCTGCATCTCTGAGTTATTTCTTTATAACACTACATAATTTTTTTTCATAATTTAGAATTTCTTAGTTAGTTCCTCAGGAATGGAACCAGACTTCTCATAGACTTTAAACTGCTGTGCATGTACCGTATGCTTCTGGTGAAGAGTCAAATGACTTCTTTCTCATCATCAGGCATACAATGAAGCATTATTTGGAACTGTACTGTCCAAAGGTTTGCTAGGCAGACTTAAAAGCTATGGTGAGCAACCTAGACTAAGTGTCTAAATTAACTCTATCTTATTTTTATTTAATTTATTTAAATACACAGGAAAAACTACAAAAGTAATTAATTCTAAATTTCTGTACTTCTGATGTATCTTGGCATTTTAAAACCATTTTGGCACTACTAATTCTCTCATTTTGGGCGAGAACCCCTCTCCCATACCACTTGTTTTTGACTTTAACTGTTGAGTGGGTGAATATGTTTGAGCATAAACTATGGATTAGGTTTCAAATTAACCTACAGTTCATAGAGTTAGGAAAAAATGTTAAGCATACCTTTGTCCCTGGCAATCCTGGTAACCCAGGTTCTCCCTGTGGACCTATGAAACCTGGTTCACCCTTAAAAAATGAGCACATGAGATCTTTGTTAATTTAACTACAAACAATTACAACAGAAATAAGTTTACTTCTAATTATATTTTCCTTAGCATCCTGGGTTTTCCAGCTGGAATCCAACAGTTATAGAAAGCTATAGTTAATCAAGTTTGATTTCCATCAACATAGAGTTTTCAAAGAAAAGCTTCATTGAGATTAAGAAAAGCAAATGAACTGGAAGCTCTTACATTTTGTTTGTAATGCAATTAATGTATTTCATGCTTCCTGGATTATGTTACAGTTTATGAAAAAAAGATCAACCGCAGCAAGCGTAATACCATGATAGATTTGGTGGAAGACGTAAATTAAATTATTCTGGCTGCACTTCTTTCATACATGATGGCATACTAACATTTCTGCTGTGTTTGACTGCAAAACCAATTTAATTCCGGGATTAAAAACTGATGCAACATTATTATATTCATGTAGCAAAATCTGGAGTACAAACATAACACATTTCTCTCCAATTACTTTCGGCAAAATATTTATCAGTTTGATGGGGCTGGGATGTGAATGGAGGAAATCTAATCAGTTTCACTGACTGAAGGACACTGCTTATTTTTAAATTATTTTGGCACAGAGAATTAATAAAGGAGAACATTCAGAGCAACTGTGTTTCCAACAAAACACACTACCTTTTGTTTACTTATAGAAGTTCCTACACATGGTCATTCAGAAGTTAAGCCCCACTGAGTTTAATAAAACTTAAGAGCTTGGAATGAATTTGTTAAAAACATCTTTGTTACTCATAATTTATTTTACCAACTTGAAAGTCAATAATTCAATCACTTTAATGTCCATGAAGCTGGCAATGTGAGGAAAAAATAACATTTTATGTCACTTCCATTTATTACTTCTGGAGGAACAGATCTGCTGTTTTATACCCTTAATTTAAATACACAACCTTAATCTCTCTGCTAGTATGCTGTTAGATATAAAGTATCTCACACAGGAAAACAATGATGACATTTTTAAAAAAACTTTCCTTCAAAATAATGAAAAGTAATAACGTCACCGTTCAATAAATGTAGGCAACTGCTGACATTACTATGAAAAGAAATGAGGGTCAGTAACACAACTTTAATTATACTGTGAAAAGTACGGGAGGTGTCAGCTTGCATTTGTGCTGCCTTACAAATAAACTACATGGGTGTGAAAAACATTTACAATTTATGAAGTCAAAGACATTTCCTAATACCTGAACACAGAAAGTTGTATTTGTTAAATTAACATAGCACGTAGGCCCAGTACTTGGGAAGAAATAGACAATGGATAAAGTACAAAATAAAGTCAGCAATGAACAGAGTTAGTACTAAATGGAGAGAAACAAGTATTTTATTATTGCTGTGATGAAAGAGTTTATGATAAAGACAACATAGGTATTTCAAAAATATAAAGAAAGTTAATATGATTCAAATGGTCTTCAAATGCATACTGTAAGTCTAGACCCATGTATAAGAGAAAACAGCAATCGTGTTTTCATTTGTGAAGGAGAAATCTTGCAGGACGAAAGCAAATAATGAAACATACTACCAAAAGTATGATCAGCGATTTATGCAAAACCTCCAATTTTCTTCAGAAGCCAAGAATTCAAGCCATCACAGAACCAATTAGACTGTTTTGCAATGTGACTTAATTTTGATTTCAACAGACAGAAACCAAAAGATCTCAAACAAAGGACAAAACTTAACTTTGTTAAATGTACTGTAAAGTTTTGGCTGCATTTACATTTTATGCAACACCAAGTGTTTCTGTTTGTTTGTTTGTTTTGCATCTTCCATATTCCTTTGCAACGAATATACCACATAGTATCAAAAATTAAAAGAGCAGAAAGAAAATGTACTGGGTTACATAAGACAAAACCAAATAATTATTTACAATGCTATGCTGAATACACCAATGTATTCCAGCGCTGCCTGGGGATTGTACTGCAATGGAAGCAGGAAAATGGGTTGAGGCTGAACCTGGACAAGACGGAGGTTCTGAGGGTGGGTGTCCACATTGTTGGCGGTTTGGGTGATTCTCGTTTGGGGGGTGATCCTTGCCGCAAAGAGTGGTGTCCGCAGCTTGGGGATCCATCTGGACCTGGTGCTCACCATGGAAGCTCAGGTGCGTCGGTGGTTCGTACTGCCTTTTTCCATCTTTGGCGGATAGTCCCGCTGCGACCCTCTCTCGACATGGGGGCGCTCACTACCTTGGTACATGCGCTTGTAATCTCAAGATTAGACCACTGTAATGCGCTCTACGTGAGGCTAACTTTGAGGTTGATGCGGAAACTCCAAGTGGTGCAGAATGCGGCAGCTAGACTCCTTAGTACAGCGAGAAAATACCATCATATTTCTCCTATTCTGGCTGCATTGCACTGGCTGCCCATTCGGTTCCGCATTGACTTCAAAGTCCTGATGCTTACGTATAAAGCCCTAAACGGTTTAGGGCCTCGATACCTGGCGGAACGCTTACTCCCACCTAGTTCTACCCGTGTCACTTGTGCAAGTCAGGAGGTGAGACTGAGGAGCTTGACGCCGAGGGAGGCCCAGAAGGAAAAAAACACCAAGAAACCAGGCCTTCTTGGCGCTAGCGCCTCGCCTCTGGAACAATCTGCCTCTGGAGATTCGTGCAGCCCCTTCGCTGGGTATTTTTAAAAATCAATTAAAAACATGGATGTTTAGGCAGTCCTTCCCTCCAGTTAATATCTGATTCTTTCTTTTCTCTTGTTTACTTTTTTTTTCTCCCTCTTGAAGCATTGGTCATTTAATGTAATAATTTCTTTTGTTATATTTACTTATTATTTACTTGTTATTTTATGTTTCTGTAAGCTGCCTAGAGTGGTCGCAAAACCAGATAGGTGGGATATAAATAAATAAATAAATGAATGAATGAATGAATGAATGAATGAATGAATGAATGAATGAATGAATGAATGAATGAATGAATGATGTCTGATTTTTCAAGTTAAGCAATTTTGGGTCTGGTTAGTACTTAGATGAGAGACCACCAGAAAATACTGGTGATCTCCAGGCAACTCTGAGAAAGACCGAACAGGTGCCAATCAAAAGTTGATAGTATTCGACAGAAAATTCTCTCTCTACAATACCCATATTGCCAGTGGAAAAAAGGATGCCAAATTACACAGCAAAGGGCAACCTGAATGTTGACAGCATTCATATCAGCATCAAAATAGCTTACAGCAGTGGTTCCCAACCTCAGGTTATCCAGATGTTCTTGGACTTCAGTTCCCAGAAGCTTTCACCACTAACTGTGCTGACCAGGGTTTCTGGGAGTTGCAGTCCAAGAATACCTGGTTTATCTGAGGTTGGGATCCACTGATCCACAGGATACCCTTTTGTGCTCACTACAATTCACAAAAAGACACCAAGCTGGGGAAAATCCCAGAACCTGACTCCTTTTTCCATCATTTGACCACTTCTCTCTTGAACACAAAAGCAATTGTCAGGGCTGGTTTTCCCCATATCCAAACTCTCCGCCTAATTTGGCACAGAGCAAAAGCAGATTATCTGTTACAATTGCGCCAATCTAATTAGAAAGTTTACTTTTTTGTTTGGGGCTGTTCTCATTTTTACAATTGCTTTGTAGAATTGCTTTGCTTTGCTGCACAATATCATAAGTCAAAACTCAAATCACAGACCTTCATTTTAATTATATGCCTTTTTTTCAATCGATAGTTCTGTATTCCAACTCACTGGCATTAATTTTAATTTTTTTTTGCATGTGAAATAATATTTAACATATTTAACATATAAAAGGCAGGTTGCTTACTTCTCCTCTTGTCTTCCTGGAAACCTTACCCATCCTTTAACATCACTGATCCAATAACGCAATCAAATTGTTCCAGTCAGTCTTTCTCTAGCCACTGTACCATACAAAATGGCTCTAATGCCTTCTTAAATAGAAAAGAAGAATACTTCTAGCCACACACTTTGATCGAGAAATAATTTCTATGAGCAGGTCTTCTGAACGGTTTATTTCTGCAGAAATAATCTCCAAAGGCTCCTAGGGAAGCGTTGTATAAGCTGACTGTCAAGTAGAGTTCTGGCACTTAGTAACACTTGCTTTAGCAATTGTGTATGCAAGAGCAGTGGTAGTAGGGCAGGGCAGAATCAGGCCTTTAAACTTGATCAAATGGTTTAAACAAAACCTAGGCTGGCTAATGTTCTTTGACATTAAATCACATAATCTTCTTTTACTAATTTTCAGATTTAAGTAGAGCTGCCAACTTTGAAATGAACCCCAAACAAACTACTTGGGCATGCTCTGCTTAGATTCCAGCATGCTATGAAGGAGCTACAAATGAAGACAGATGCAAAAGGAAGCTATGGAAGCTGCTACTGCCAAGTCATCATATTGATCATACACATCAACCCCATTTTTATTAAGGGTTATACTGCAGCTTTATGAGTGCATGTTCCACATACAGAAAAATCCTAGGTTTAATCAAGGCAAGGCTGCAAAAGACCTCTCTTTCAAACTCAGGAGAACTGGTGCCAGTCAAGAGGCAAGACTGAGTTGGATCAGGGTTTCTCCAACTTTACAACCCTAAGGAGTACCCGAGAAGGCTGAACACTACTGAGGCCCACCTGAAACAAAACAGAAAACTGCAGGAGGACAAAATGTTGGGCGACAAAGGTGGATTTTGTAATAGTCTAGGACAATTACTAACAATTTGGGAGTGGGTGATTCGTCTTCTGAAATTGCTAGTTATTTGCACCAAGTTTAGCTAGTTCAGCATTCCTCATACTAAATTAGAGCCAAACACTACAGCTCGTTCTGTCCAACGTGACATATCTGGAGAGTTTAAGTAGAACACTTTAATTTATATCACCCTCTTGCCCCCCCCCAAGTCCCACTACAGTGAAAAAGGCAGCGTGGAAATTTAAAAAACGAACAAACAGCAAATGCAAACCTTTTATCATGTCTTATAAAAAGTCTGATGAACGAGAAGTCTT